TAGTAGTAGTAGTAGTAGTAGTAGTAGTAGTAGTAGTAGTAGTAGTAGTAGTAGTAGTAGTAGTAGTAGTAGTAGTAGTAGTAGTAGTAGAAGGAGTAGCTGTAGTAGTCGTCGCAGCAGCAGCAGCAGGAATTGTAGTAGTAGTAGCAGTATTCGTACTAGTAGTAGTAGTAATAGTGGCTCCACGACTGCTACAAGTAGTGTGATCGTGATGCGTTGTTTTAGTACAAAAATAAAGTGGTAGTAGTAATCGTAGTAGTAGTAGCAACAGTCGTAGTAGTAATCGTAGTAGTCGAAGTAGCAGAGTTCGAGTAGTGGTGTTACGTGAACTGGTAGTAGTCGTAGTAGTAGTCGTAGCAGTAGTAGTAGTAGTAGTAGTAGTAGTAGTAGTAGTAGTAGTAGTAGTAGTAGTAGTAGTGGAAGTAGCAGTAGTCGTCGTCGTAGTAGTAGTCGTTGTCGTCGTAGTACTAGTAGTAGTGCGCCTGGTGGTTGTAGTAGTAGTCGTAGTAGTAGTCGTAGTTGTAGTAGTCGTAGTTGTCGCAGCCGTAGTGGTAGGAGTAGTAGTAGTTCTTAGTAGTAGTAGTAGTAGTAGTCGTCGCAGAAAGAGTAGTTGTAGTAGTAGTACGAGTAAAAGTAGCACGTAGTAGTAGAAGTGTAAGAGTAGTAGTAGGAGTAGTAAAGTATGAGTAGTAGTAGTAGTAGTAGTAGTAGTAGTAGTAGTAGTAGTAGTAGTAGAAGTAGTAGTAGTAGTAGTAGTAGTAGTAGTAGTAGTAGTAGTAGCACGCGTAGCAGCTGTAGTAGTAGTCAGCGTAGAAGTAGTAGTATACGTAGCCGTAGTAGTAGTAGTAGTAGTAGTAGTAGTAGTAGTAGTAGTAGTAGAGTAGTAAGAGTAGTAGTAGTAGTAGTAGTAGTAGTAGTAGTAGTAGTAGTAGCAGCAGTAGTAGTAGTAGTAGTAGTAGTAGTATTCGTAGTAGTAGTCGTAGTAGAGTCGTCTTAGTAGTAGCAGTAATCGTAGTAGTAGCAGTAGTGGTGGTAGTAGTTAGCGTAGCAGTAGTAGTAGTAGTAGTAGTAGTAGTAGTAGTAGTAGTAGTCGTAGTAGTAGTAGTAGTAGTAGTAGTAGTAGTAGTAGTGCCAGTGGTAGCCGTAGTTCTAGTAGTAGTCGCAGTAGTAGTAATAGTAGCACTCGTAGTCGTAGTAGTAGGAGGAGTAGTAGTAGTCGTAGTCGTGCTACTACTATAGTCAGAGTCGTAGTAGTCGTAGTAGTAGTAGTAGTAGTAGTAGTAGTAGTAGTAGTAGTAGTAGTAGTTGCCGTAGATGTCGTAGTCGTTGATGAAATCGTAGTCGTAGTAGTAGCCGTAGTAGTCGTCGTCGTAGTAGTAGTAGTTGTAGCAGTAGTTGTAATCATCTTAGACGTAGTAGTAGTAGAAGTAGCATTTATAGTCGTAGTCGAAGTCATGGGAGGAGTAGTCGTAGTAGTAGATGTTGTAGTTGCAGTAATATAGTTGTTCGTGTAGCAGCAGCAGTAGTAGTATTAGTCGTATTAGTAGTAGTAGTAGTAGTAGTAGTAGTAGTAGTAGTAGTAGTAGTAGTAGTAGTGTAGTAGTAGAGGTAGTAGTAAAAGTAGTAGTTGTAGTAGTAGTAGTAGTAGTAGAAGCCGTAGTCGTAGCAGCGGTAGTAGTGAGTAGTAGTAGTAGTAGTAGTAGTAGTAGTAGTAGTAGTAGTAGTCGTAGTAGTAGTAGTAGTAGTAGTAGTAGTAGTAGTAGCAGCAGTAATAGTCGTAGTAGTAGTAGTAGTAGTAGTAGTAGGAGTAATAGTAGTAGTAGGAGTAATAGTAGTAGTAGTAGTAGTAGTAGTAGTAGTAGTAGTAGTAGTAGTAGTAGTAGTAGTAGTAGTAGTAGTGGTAGTAGTAGACGTTGAAGTAGAAGTAGTAGGAGTGTGATGACGAAAATACAGTGCGCTAGCCAATATCATTCGATATTAACTGCGAGTCGGACTCTCCCAGTGATCATGAAGTTCATCTCGCCGCCCCTCTCCCCCGACCAACTCTGTCTTGGCCCGGGTACCTAGTCAACTCTCAGATGGAAAGTGGGGGATGTTTTATCATTTGGGGCACTGGTTTCTGTTAGCCGACTTTCGCTTGTCCGAGCCCTTCCCTTGTCTGCTACACCGCAATGGTGAGCGGGTTCTGACCGTCCTCTGGGAGTAAACATCTCTTTCGATTGAAGTATCCCCGCATCAGGGCGCGAACGGGCCCGTGATCGGAGGTTGGGGGGTGAGATCGCAGTGGAACGGAGACCCCCAACCGGGAAATCGTTTCGTTTCGTTCGTGTCGTGCGTGCGGGCGAGGCGAAGTTGCGTGGGCGCGTTGGCCCGCTGTGTCCCGCGGTATCCCGTGGTGTCCCGTGGTGTCCGCCGTTGCTAGGACGAAGTCAAGACAAATGTTTCTCCGTCCGTCCGTCCGGCGGTGGCCCGCGGTGGCCCGCGGTGTCCCGCGGTGTCCCGTGGTGTCCCGTGGTGTCCGCCGTTGTGATTCTCCTCTGTCCGTCCGTCCGTCCGGCGGCGTCTCGCGGTGTCCCGCGGTGTCCCGTAGTGTCCCGTGGTGTCCCGTGGTGTCCGCCATTGCTAGGGCAGAGTCAAGACAAATGATTCTCCCCCGCCCGCCCGTCCGTCCGTCCGTCGGTGGCTCGCGGTGTCCCGCGGTGTCCCGTGGTGTCCCTTGGTGTCCCGTGGTGTCCGATCGATAGTGAGATCGATACTGAGATCGATCTTGAGATCGATGTGGTGCCCCGAAGTGTCCCGTCGTGTCCCAAAAAGTGAGATCGATATTCAGACGGACATGTGTCCCGTGGTGTCCCGTGGTGTCCCGTTGAGTGAGATCGATAGTGAGATCGATCTTGAGATCGATGTGGTGCCCCGACGTGTCCAGTGGTGTCCTAAAACGTGAGATCGATAGTGAGATCGATCGTCAGATTGACAGGTGTCCCGTGGTGTCCCGTGGTTTCCCGTTGAGTGAGATCGATTGGAGACCGATAGTGAGATCGATCGTGAGATCGATGTGGTGTCCCGAGGTGTCCCGTGGTGTCCTATGGTGTCCCGTTGAGTGAGATCGATAGTGAGATCGATCGTGAGACCGATAGTGAGATCGAGATGTGTCCCGCGGTGTCCCGTGGTGTCCCGTGGTGGCCCGTGGTGTCACGTGGTGTCCCATTGAGAGAGATCGATAGTGCGATCGATAGTGAGATCGACAAGTGTCCCGTGGTGTCCGGTGGTGTTCCGTTGAAAGAGATCGATAGTGAGATCGATTGTGTCAGATGTTGGTTCCCCCCCTTCCCCCCCCACAACCTCTTGATCACCCGAAGGGTGGTCGTACAGGAGTACATATATATATATATATATGAATATGTATATATATATACGTATATATATATATATATACATATCTATATGTGTATATGTATACACATATATTTATATATGTATATTGCCTTGACGGCTCAACCTTAAAAAGGGTGCGTCAGGTCAGTGCCATGCTGGCTACATTGCCACGAGCACGGGCTCTGAAAAGGTACCCGCTCAGCGGCCCTCTCACTGGGTCAAAACATGAGTGTTCGTTTGGGGTGTCCCCACAATCTGGACGCGATCGGCCCCGTGACATACTTTTTGTGTCTGCCTGCTACATAGCGATGATTATGGGGCTCTGGACGAGAGTCGCCCGCTGGGCCAAATCTGGTGTTGCGATTCAGATGTTTCCACAGTCTAGGCTCGAACGGCCTGTGAAATACCCCCATGCGGCCCCCCACCGGGGTGCCCAATTGCGAACGTTGTTACGTCGAGTAGGTCATCGGACTCCTCCGTGTCGACTGACTGCATCCGCGCACGAGGATGTCTGTGTGCGGGTTGAGTCTGAGCCTGAGTGCGTCTGCATAGGAAAAGTATGGTTGTCGGTTGCACCCTTGAGTAGAACGTGAGTGCGATGATGAGTCTGTAGCGTGAGTGATTCTAATTGTGAGTGGACATGAGTAGGAGTAATTGAGGGCAGGGTGTAAGTAAGTATACGCGCGAGTCTGAGTGTGAAAGGGTACGTGCGCGTGCGCGTCCGAGTGTAAACGGAGGTGAGTATGGGTGCGCATACATGTGAGTTCGTCTGAGTATGAGTGACTTGGGTATGGTGTTTTTGATTGTGAGTGATTTGGAGTGTGGATGACGGTGAGCATGAGTGTGCGCGGACCCGTGGATGAGTGAGTCGTAGTGTTTGCGAGTCATAGTTTGAGTGAGTCTGAACGCTGGTGGGTTTGGGTGTTGGAGAATATGCGTGTGAGTGTGTTTGAGCGTGAGTGTTCTGAGTACGAGTGAGCCAGATTGTGAGCGGGTCTGAGTATGATTGGCTCGAACATGAGTGGTTCTGAGCACGTGTGAGTATGTTCGGGTGTGAGGGTGTCCGAGCACAAGTGTTACAGCCACAGTGTGAGCGAGAGAGGGGTGCTTAAGTGAAGAGCGGATGCGGAAACCTAAACTCTAACAGCGGTTTTCTAGTTTGACTCGCATCGTGGGTGAAAAACACATCCGTATCCGCGGCCTCGCGGGCTGGTCCTTTGGGCTGCGACCCCGCGTGTACAGGGCGTTTCTTCGCATATGCTCCGCGGGGTGCGTATCCGCGCGACCGCGTATCCGCGGGATCGCGTTCCAGAATCCAGACCGCGAGTGCGCGGATATGGAGGTTGTTGCTCGTCAGCCTAAAGGTAGTGCATCTTCCACTTGCAGCTTCATCACGTGCGGCGGCTGCATTGCAGAGGAGCGCGACGAAGAAGGAGGTGCGTAAGTAGTGTGATCTTGAGGCAAGACTGAATGTGTGGGCGAAGTGGTCAGCAACTCACCCAGCAGGGCGAGGGCTCGATACCCTGGGCATGCCGAAATTGGAAGGCGTGCCAGAGTTCTTGCCGCTGGTTCAGCGATTCCGACATTGCGTATTCCTTGTACCGGATTTGTGTCATCCCGCCAAGGAACCTCATCAATTTCATCCACAGGGTCGTTGGCCCACGGCATGCGCCACGCAGCGCAGATGAGCCTCCTGTACTGAGGCGCCTCTCCTTGTTGCCACATCCATGTACTTAACCTGGTGAAGAGCCCAACCCATTCAACACGCGCGGAAGGTGTCAACAGGACTCTCGCTGCACAAGAACTTTTTGGGGGGGAGTCGCAGTTCCCTTGAAAACTTCGCCAGAGAAAACCGGACCCGGCTCAGCACGCAGTCACGCGACTCAACTCGCAAGCGGAGGTTAGCAGTGCATGCGGCGCGGAACACAAGGGCGGGGGTTGTGGGAGCAGGAGGAGGGATCATGGTCAACCTCACCCCCGAGCCAAACCGCGTCGCGGATCATGCGCCATGCTCGTTGGGGGTGCGCCAGGAGGGACCCGAGCCACCATGCGGACGCAGCCACTGGGGCCTTCGGTGGAGCTCCCTATGGGGCCCCACGAAACGTGTGAGTAGTGTGCCAGAAGGGGCCCGAGTCACCATGCGGACGCAGCCACTGGGGCCTTCTGGGGAGCTTCCTATAGGGCCACGAAACGTGTGAGGGGTGTGCCAGAAGGGACCCGAGTCACCATGCGGACGCAGCCACTGGGGCCTTCGGTGGAGCTCCCTATGGGGCCCTACGAAACGTGTGAGGAGTGTGCCAGAAGGGGCCCGAGTCACCATGCGTACGCAACACTTGGGGCCTTCGGCGGGGCTCCCTACGGAGCCACAGAACGTGTGAGGGGTGTGCCAGAAGGGACCCGAGTCACCATGCGGACGCAGCCACTGGGGCCTTCTGGGGAGTTCCCTATGGGGCCACGAAACGTGTGAGGGGTGTGCCAGAAGGGACCCGAGCCACCATGCGGACGCAGCCACAGGGGCTTTCTGGGGAGCTCCCTATGGGGTCCCACGAAACGTGTGCGGGGTGTGCCAGAAGGGACCCGAGTCACCATGCGGACGCAGCCTCAGGAGCCTTCGGCCCCTATGGGGCCACGAAACGTGTGCGGGGTGCGCCGAAACGGTGATGAGAATGATGATGGTGGTGGCGATGGTGATGGTGATGATGATGGTGGTGTTGATGTCGGTGGTGAGGATGTTGATGGTGATGATGATGATGGTGGTGGTGGTGCTGGTGATGGGGAGAGGGGAGAAGAGGATGAGGAGGACGTGTAAAGAGGAGTGGAGAAGAAGAGGAGAGGAGGCAGGAGGGGAAGGAGGAAGGAAGGAAGGGAAGAAGGAGACGCGCGGCGCTGCGAATTGGAAACGAAGACCCAACACACAGGAGGGTTGGGAAAAGCATTGTTGATCGTCGCGAGCCGTTATGGAGCTTGCACTGAGCTCTGTCTTCCGTCGCATCGTTTACCCCACATCGATTACCCCGAGCCTTGGTTTGCGATCTTCTTGCTCGTCCAGTTGACTGAGGCAACTCCCGCCACCGCGTTAGCGAAGCAGCGCAGCAGGAAGGTGGTTGAGTTCAACGCCCGCTCTAGCTCAGCGTCCCGTCTGAACTGGCGCGAGTCTCAAACATCGGCTCATTTGTTTCAGTTTCGTTATTTTTCCGTCCGACTCCCCACCGTGCGAACGCAGCGTTGTGTGACGACGTTTCGAGCACCGACGTTTCGAGCACCACTCAGAAGGCCATGTCTTCCGTCGCCTCTCCATTATGTTCTTTGGAAGGCCCTCAAGAGGGCTACATGGGTCGCCTTGGGGCTGTCTTGGTCTCCTCTTGGGGTCCTTCTTGGGCCCCTTTTGAACCTCGTGGGTCGTCTTCGGGCTCTCGTGGGCCGTCGTTGTGCCGTCTAGGCCTTTGGGGAGTCTCTTGGGTTTTCTTGTGGCCCTCATGGGTCATCTTGGGGCACTCTTGGGCTATCCTTGCTCTCTTGAGCCGTTTTGGAGCCCTCGTGGAGTTGTCCCTGGCCGTCTGGGGGACTTGGAGGTCCTGTCTGGGTTTCTCCGTTGCTCTTCTGAGGCCCTCGTGGATCACCTTGATCCGGAACGCAGATGAAACACGACATACTTAAAACATTTACGCGTCCCCTTGTGGTTCCAAACCATCCTGTGTGAGTGATGATTTCTTTCTTTTCTTCCTCACCCTCCTCCTGCCTCTGCCATCCGTACGTGTCAATGTCGGCACACCTTTCGCATATTGCGCGGTCCCATACGGAGCTTAACCGAAGGGCCCACTGGCATGGTCATAGTGCTGCCCGGTTCCCCAAACCATGTTGGCACAACCCTCGCGCGTTGGCCTCAGTGGCATGGTGTTGCATAGGCTCTCCCCCCTCCTAGTTCGGCACTGGCACTCCTCACACGTTTCGTGGCTCCACAGGAAGTTCATCCGAAGGCCTCAATGGCATGGTGTTGCACATCGCCCCCCCGCCCAATTCGGCGCATCTCTCGCACGTCTCGTGGTCCTGCAGGATGCGCCACCGACAGCCTCAGTGGCATAGTGCTGCACACCGCCGGCCCGCCCATTTTGGCAGTCCCCTCACACGTTCCGCAGACCCACAGGGGGTGCCGCCGAAGGCTTCGGTGCGTGCTGTTGCACAGCGCCCCTTCCAGTTCAGCACGCCGCTCATATGCTTCGGGGCTCCACGGGGCGCTCCACAGAAAGTTGCAGTGGCATAGTTCAGGAGGGAAAGAAACACGCAGACACAATTAATCGTCGACTCCCCCGAAAATATGCGAAAATATGGGAAGAGAGGGGGAAGACAGAGACCAAAACATTAGCCTGGCGAAGGACCCAACCATATGCAGTTGTGAATGCCGCAATTGTGCTGGGTGGTTGCGGACGCATGCGGGCGGTGCCACTGGGACCTTCGGTGGAGCTCCCTATGGGGCCACGAAACGCTGTACTGGGTGGGTGAGACGCGGTCAGCAAGGGCTGTGCTGCGTGGTGGCGGACGCATGCGAGCGGTGCCACTGGGACCTTCGGTGGAGCTCCCTATGGGGCCACGAAACGCTGTACTGGGTGGGTGAAACGCAGGCAGGGAGCAAGGGCTGTGCAGGGTGGTGGCGGACGCATGCGGGCGGTGCCGCTGGGACCTTTGGTGGAGCTCCCTATAGGGCTACGAAGCGCTGTTCTGGGTGGGTGAAGCGCAGGGAACAAGGGCTGTGCTGGGTGGTGGCGGACGCAAGCGGGCAGTGCCACTGGGACCTTTGGTGGAGCCCCCTATGGGGCCACGAAACGTGCGAGGGGTGTGCCAGAATGGGGTGTGGAACCGCATGCCAGCGCAGCCACTGGGGCCTTCGGTGGAGCTCCCTATGGAGCCACGAAACGTGTGAGGGGTGTGCCGAAATGGGGGGTGGAACCGCATGCGGGCGCAGCCACTGGGGCGTTCGGTGGAGCTCCCTATGGGGCCACGAGACGTGTGAAGGGCGTGCCGAAAAAGGGAATGGAACCGCATGCGAGCGCAGCCACTGGGGCCTTCGGTGGAGCTCCCTATGGGGCCACGAAACGTGTGAGGGGTGTGCCAGAATGGGGGTGGAACCACATGTGAGCGCAGCCACTGGGGCGTTCGGTGGAGCTCCCTATGGGGCCACGAAACGTGTGAGGGGTGTGCCAGAATGGGGGGTGGAACCGCATGCGGGCGCAGCCACTGGGGCCTTCGGTGGAGCTCCCTATGGGGCCACGAAACGTGTGAGGGGTGTGCCAGAATGGGGGGTGGAACCGCATGCGGGCGCAGCCACTGGGCCTTCGGTGGAGCTCCCTATGGGGCCACGAAACGTGTGAGGGGTGTGCCAGAATGGGGGGTGGAACCGCATGCGGGCGCAGCCACTGGGGCCTTCGGTGGAGCTCCCTATGGGGCCACGAAACGTGTGAGGGGTGTGCCAGAATGGGGGTGGAACCGCATGCGGGCGCAGCCACTGGGGCCTTCGGTGGAGCTCCCTATGGGGCCACGAAACGTGTGAGGGGTGTGCCAGAATGGGGGTGGAACCGCATGCGGGCGCAGCCACTGGGGCCTTCGGTGGAGCTCCCTATGGGGCCACGAAACGTGTGAGGGGTGTGCCAGAATGGGGGGTGGAACCGCATGCGGGCGCAGCCACTGGGGCCTTCGGTGGAGCTCCCTATGGGGCCACGAAACGTGTGAGGGGTGTGCCAGAATGGGGGGTGGAACCGCATGCGGGCGCAGCCACTGGGGCCTTCGGTGGAGCTCCCTATGGGGCCACGAAACGTGTGAGGGGTGTGCCAGAATGGGGGGTGGAACCGCATGCGGGCGCAGCCACTGGGGCCTTCGGTGGAGCTCCCTATGGGGCCACGAAACGTGTGAGGGGTGTGCCAGAATGGGGGGTGGAACCGCATGCGGGCGCAGCCACTGGGGCCTTCGGTGGAGCTCCCTATGGGGCCACGAAACGTGTGAGGGGTGTGCCAGAATGGGGGGTGGAACCGCATGCGGGCGCAGCCACTGGGGCCTTCGGTGGAGCTCCCTATGGGGCCACGAAACGTGTGAGGGGTGTGCCAGAATGGGGGGTGGAACCGCATGCGGGCGCAGCCACTGGGGCCTTCGGTGGAGCTCCCTATGGGGCCACGAAACGTGTGAGGGGTGTGCCAGAATGGGGGGTGGAACCGCATGCGGGCGCAGCCACTGGGGCCTTCGGTGGAGCTCCCTATGGGGCCACGAAACGTGTGAGGGGTGTGCCAGAATGGATGTGGGAGGGGGAGGAGGGGGGAGGAAGGGGAGGAGGAGGAAGGAGGAGGAAGGAGGAACGTGGGGCGACGTCTCTTCAAAACGAGGACCCAACACCACAGGATGGTTGGGAAATATGGGAAAATATGGGGAATCATTTTATTTGTGTGTATTTATTTGTGTGTCCCAGGGCCCCTTCAATAGTGTTGCATGGCGCCCTGCCGCGCATTTCGGCACACCTCCCACGCGTTTCGCGGCCCCACGGGGCGCTCCACCGCAGGCCTCAGTGGAATGTAATGGTGTTGCACAGCCTCCTCCCCGCCCCTTTCGGCACGATCCTCACACGCCTCGTGGCACCATGGGGAGCTCTACCGAATGCCTCAGTACAGTGGGGGCGCGCATCAAGAAACCATGTGCTTTTCGTCAGGGTATCCTGGGTTTCTTCGCTCCGCCCGCTGCGCGGTGACTTCCCGCAGCCGTTGAAGAAGCTGCTGCGTTCAGGGCGCTCCCAGATTCCCCTCAGGCGCACCTCGCGCGCGGGTTTTCAGGGTTGGGTTTCTTGCGAGGGTTTCTTGCGGCCGCGCCCTCACTGTAGCATGGTGGTGCGTTGCGTCGTGGCCCCACATGGATCTCCACCCAAGGCGTCAGTTGCTTGCTGTTGCATAGCGCTCCCCCACCTGTTTCGGCACGCCGGTCGCACGTCCAGTGGCTGCGCACCCAGCTCCATCGACTGCTTCTGTGGTGGAGTATCACATCGAGTTATTCTGCCCATTGCATGGTCGCACAGGGAGCTCGACCGAAGCCTTCAATTGCATGGTGTTGCATAGGGCCCCCATTTCGACACCTCTCACTCGCTTAGTGGCCCCATAGGGAGCTCCACCGACGGCCTCAATTGTATGGGGTTGCATCGCGTTCCCCCGCCAATTCCAGCACACTCTTCACACGTCTCGTGGCGCCGCAGGAAGCTCCACCGGAGGCCTCAGTGGCAGGGTGTCGCATGCCAACCTCCCGCATAGTTCGGTTATCCCTGACGCTCATCGCGGTCCTACAGGGAGCCCGTTCTTGCTCGCGGCGCATTGCTCGCGGTTTGTGGTAGGGGGGGGCTTCTTTGCCTTCTCTTTGATGTCGCGGGAGGCCCATGGGGCCGCTTCGGCGCCTCTTGGGTTTTTTTTAGGCTTTGTTTGGTGCCTCCTGAGGCAATGGGCTCCTGGGCCGTCTTGGGAACCTTGGAGAGCCTCGGGGAAGCATCGGGCCACTGCCAAAAGCTTCGTGCGGGGAGGAATGCGCGCGACTGAGTGTGTGATGAGGAGGGGGGATCCTTAGCAGACTGACATGCACTAGCCCCACAGGGTAGATATTTGGTACCGCGCCACGTCTCTGGGGGGCCTCCGCGGGGCCCGTCTGAGGCTCAGTGGGTCGTCTCGGGCCGTATTGGGGGTCTCTCGGGCAGCCCTGGGTCTTGGAGCCCTCTCTGGGCCGGCCTGGGTCTTTGGGGGATCTCCTAGGCGTTCCGAGGGGCGCTGTTGCCGACCAGCTGCAGAAGAAGAGGCCATTGATCAGTTGACCGTCGTCGCTCCATCCCCAGCCGTGTTGTGGAAGTTGTGCCCTCGTTCTGAATCCGTGGCGCCGCGCCCCACCTCACCCCACTCGCTGCTCCTCCCCCCTTCACTTCCTCCCCCCCAGCCTCCCCGTCCTACCCGCGCCCATCTCGACAGTCCCCTCATGCGGACTGCGCGGCACAGGGAATCCACCTACGGTTAAGTCGGGCCTGTCCCTCTACAGGAGAAATGTTCAAAATAGTCAAAAATTAGTCAGGGGACGATTTTTTGAGCATTGTTTGACTATTTGGGGGTATTGTTTGAGTATTTTCCATGTTTCGTCCAAGATCCGCCTGTAGGGGGACGTGCCCGACCTAAACCTACGGCCTCAGAGGCACGGTTCGCACGGCGTCCCCCCGCCCTCTTTGGCACACCCCATCGCGCGGATGGCGACCCACGGGGAGCTCCACCTGAGGCTCTGGAGTCAGGGTTTGCATGGCGCCTTCTGGCAATCTCGGCACACCCCTCACATGGATCGTGCCCCACATGATGCTCCATCTGCGGCCTCAGAGGGCTCGTTCGCGCAGGGGCTTTCAGTTCAGCCCAACAACCGGCACCCCCTAACGTGGACCGTGCCCCGCAGGGAGTTCGGTTTGCTTCTGCGCGCTCGGTCTGCAGCAGGACGGGCCCAGGTTCAGTATGTGCTGTTGTCCCATGCCTCGCAAGGCGCCTCTCGTCGCCACACTTTGTCGGGAAGGGGGGCGGGGGGACTTGTTCCAGGCTGTGCCAAAAGGTGGACTGCCGCAGCGCCGAGTGGTCGCAAGTAGGGGCTCCACCGCCAGAGAACGACACGCCTCCGTTGGCAGGCGTCATCGTATTACTCCCTTGTTTGTATCCCAAGGCCTTGTGGTTCTTCACCAGAAGCACGCTGATGGGCGCCCCATGGCGGCGTGCCATCGATATTTGTTCTGCTCCCCCAGGGTCCAGGGGGTCTGACGACAGGGGGAGAGGGGGGGCGCCAGATTCTATGGTGGTTGGGCGTTTTCGGCCTTCTTTCATGACCGCTGGTCCTCTCTTCCTTTTGTCTTCGCAGAACCGGAGCGGAGTTGGAAACAGAGCGCTTCCTTTTCAAACCTTTGGAGGACCGACCCCCCCTTTCGGAATAGTTTGGTCGGGCATGTCTTCCTACAGGTGGATTTTGAAGGAACATTTAGCAGTTAAGAAATGCGCAAACAGATAAAAATAATCGAAACATCCTCCCCCGACTAATTTTGCTACCATTCTTGAAGATTCCTTCTGTAGAGGGACGTGCATTTTGCATCTTCGGGAGACCTGGCCTATCCTGTAGATGGAAATGGCAGTCTTTTCCTGTACGCCCGCGTAGGCTCGACTCGGACTCGACGTGCACTGGACACGGACTCGACACGGTCTCGACGCGCTCCACACTGGATTTGACACGGATTCGACGCAGGTCGCGGCGCGACGGGACAGACCAGGTCCCCGAAGATGCAACAAAAGCCTGGTTCGGGCGGGGTCAGGACCCGACGCGGTCGTGAACGCGCTTCAGAACGCTTTCAGAGCGTTCTAGAGCGCTCCCTAGCATCGTTCGGGCGTGTGGTTTTTTTCGGCCAGAACCATCGAGGAGCATTTCGGGCCATCTTACGAAATGTACATGCACGAAGCCCCGAACATTTCACGGGTAATGGACGCTCGAAAGATGGCGAGGTTCCAGAACGGCCGCGGCGCACGATACATACACGTGAACCGCTGTAACAGCATCTCCGAGACCCCCCAGTGCTTCCAGTCTGACGTTGTCCAGGGTTTGGTTTTGTCTGCTGGTGTGGCGCAAACCCCGTTGTTGTAGGGTCCAACGAACGTGTCGGGTGGTGCAATGGTTTCAGCTCTGCCTTGTCATTGCGGGTGCGGGGAGGCCGCCTGGGGTGTTAGTTCTCAAACTCAACAGCGCCCTGCTCTCCGTGGCTGAGTGCTGTGCCTGCTTGTGCCTTCTGTCACTGTCCAGCCCACTGCCTCAATTGTCAGGCAGGGAATCCACTACTACATTGATGAATGGTAGGACGTCTTCAAGGACTGGGTGTGCGCCGCAGACTTCAGCAGGAGGAGGAGGAGGAGGAGGAGGAGGACCCAGTGGAGGATGGATGCATGAGCCAAGGGAGGGAAGAGATTGGTCTCTTTGTGGTCGCGTAGTCCTCTTGGGGGGGACGCAGCAGGGCACCTATGCCGCATGCCTGTGTGGTTATGCCTGCCTGCTCGCATGTGCGTGTTCCTGAGTATTTGCGCGTAGTGTCGGAATGACGAACGTTGTGTCTCTGTGCGCATTAGTGTGTGTGTGTGTGTGCATGTGTGTGCGTCTTTGTCTGTCGTTTTTTATATCTCTCTCTCTCTCTCACACTCCCTTTTTTCTTTTTTTTGTTATCTCTCTCTCTCTCAGTGTTGCACCTGTCGTCATCGATGACGCCTAAGGCAAATCACCACCACTCCTAGCCTTTTAGAAACGCCCGCGCGGCCAATTGGTGGGCCGAAGTCTGGCCAAGCTGTTGGACTGCGGGTTTCTCCAGTTGGGCGCATTTGAAAGCGAGAACGCAGGAGGGGAGGGAGGAGGAGGAGGAGGAGGAGGAGGAGGAGGAGGAGGAGGAGGAGGAGGAGGAGGAGGAGGAGGAGGAGGAGGAGGAGGAGGAGGAGGAGGAGGAGGAGGAGGAGGAGGAGGAGGAGGAGGAGGAGGAGGAGGAGGAGGAGGAGGAGGAGGAGGAGGAGGAGGAGGAGGAGGAGGAGGAGGAGGAGGAGGAGGAGGGAGGAGGAGGAGGGAGGAGGAGGAGGAGGAGGAAGGAGGAGGAGGAGGAGGAGGAGGAGGAGGAGAGGAGGAGGAGGAGGGAGGGGGAGGGGGAGGGGGAGACGGAGGAGGAGGACGGAGACAAGACCTCTTGAGGCCTTCATGAGGCCCACTGGGGGCTTAACGGGAGCGTCTTCAGGGCCTCTGAGTGGCTTTTTGAGGGGTGGGGAGGGGCCCCTGCAAGAGTTACCTTGGCGAAGAACCCAACCTTACCAGCCTGGAACATATCCCTATCCCTATGCTGGGCACCTCCTCATCACGATGCCAATCAGGGGGTTCCCTTATATTTTGAGGGCGAATCTTTAAGATTGTCATCGCCTTTTGGCGTCTCAATCTTAGGGATAGGGATACGTTCGAGGCTGGTAACAACCCACTGTGACCGCGTGGCGAATATTAGCAGGAGCGCTCAATGCACACGAGCATCACGAGTTACCGTGCGGACCCCTCACTGGGGCCTTCGTTGGAGCTCCCCATGAGGCCACGAAGCATGTGAGGGGTGTGCCGAAGTAGGCCCGCGTAACCACGCGAACCCTGCCACCGGAGCCCTCGCTGGAGCTCCCGATGGGGCCACGAGACGTGTGAGGAGTGTGCCGAAATGGATCCGAGTCACCATGCGGACGCAGCCACTGGTGCTTTTGGTGGAGAAGCGTGAGTGGTGTGCCAAAATAGACCCAAGTACGCATGCAAGCCCTGCGACTGGGGCCTTGGGTGGAGCTCCCCATGGGGCCAACAAACGCGTGAGAGGTGAGCCGAAATGGACGCGAGCACTCATGTGAACCCTGCCACTGGAGCCTTCGGTGGAGCCCTCTATGGAGCCACGAAGCATGTTAACAGTGCGCCAGAATGGACCCGAGTACGCAGGCGAAGCCTGCCACGGGAGCCTACGGTGGAGCTCCCCATGGGGCCAGGACGCGTGTGAGAGGTGTGCCCAAGTGGACCCAGGTACACATGCGAACCCTGCCACGGGAGCCCTCGGGGGAGCTCACCATGGGGCCACGAAGCGTGTGAGGTCAGGTGAAAGCCTCGCCCTGACGGCGCATCGGCAAGAAGCGTTGTGTATATATATATATATATATACACAAGGCCTGGACAAATCATGCAGAATGATGTTGATTCGGGGTGCGCCGGTGGACAGCAAGTGTGGATCACAATGCTGCGTGGCGGCTACCGTCACACCAGCAGCGGAAGAAAGGAGGAGGTCAAGGAGGAAGAATTGACGTGATGTTCTGTCTGATACCGCCTCGTGTAAGCACCTCTCTTCTTCACAGTCGTGATGCGGACGTGCGGATTCTTGCGATCCCGCTTCTGCGTCACGGTCGTGATGGGGTTGTCTGGCTCATGCGTACCCCGGCAAGAACAAACGACATCATGAAATGCAGTAGCCGCCACTGGCGTTGTGCTATTCTGCCGGGGAACCGAGCAGTTTGTCATGCGGGCCCTGAGACTGGGGCCTTTGGTGGAGCTCCCCATGGGGCCAAGAACCATGTGAGGGGTGTGCCACAATGGATCCGAGTACACATGCAAGTCCTGCATCTAAGGCCTTCGGTGCACCTCCTTAGGGGGTCACGAAACGTATCACGGGTGGGCCAGAATGGGCCCGAGTACACACGCGAACCTTGCCATTGGAGCCCTCGCTGGAGCTCCCTATGGATCCGAGTACGCATGCGGGCCCTGCCACTGAGGCCTTCGGTGGAGCTCCCAATGGGGCCACGGAGCATGTGAACGGTGCGCGAGTACGTATGCGATCCCTGCCACTGGAGCCTGCGGTGGAGCTCCCCATGGGGCCACCACGCGTGTGAGGTGTGCGGAAGTGGACTCGAGTACACATGCGAACCTTGCCACTGGAGCCCTCGGTAGAGCTTCCCATGGGGCCACCAGTGTGATTGTGGTGATGGGAAGCGACGTGACGATGACGAGAAAGTGGAGCGACGAGCGAGAAGGAGAGGCGAGGAGCAGAGGAGAAGTAGCTAGACGCAGGGCGCTACGATTTCAAAGCGAGAGCCCACCACGCAGGAGGTGTGGGAAAAGGGTGGCAGTCCAGCAAGCAAGCGAGGCATTCGTCTGATGTAAATCAACAGGGAGCGGCGGATGCCGTGGCCTTCGGCCCACCCCGCCACCGTGCTTGGGTCGTGGCTTAGAGGCATCCTGAATGCCTGATGTCCATCTCGGGATGCCTCGCAGGGGCCGTCTGGAGGCCCCTCGAGAGGGCCCTCGGGTCGGGGGCCTCCTGGAGGCTTCTTCGGCGCCCTTTTGGGCGCTTCTGAGAGGCTGTCGGAGGCGTGACACGTGTTTCCCATCTGTTTGTCGGGGGTGGACAGACTTCCTACCCTGACACGTCGATTAGTGAATTGGCCGTTTTCGGGCTCGCGAGAGGGCGTCGCGGCCGTCGTTTTTGCGGGTCCAGTTCCGTCGGTTTCGGTCCCAGGCCGTTTTCACTAAGGGGAGGTCTACTGAAGGGAGGGTTGTCCACCGCCGAGTTTGGAATGTGCTCCCACAACCTCTTCGCTTTTTCCCCCCCCTCTTGCGGCGCTGTTGGAGGCCTGATGAGCTGCATTGGGGCCCTCATGGCATCCTGGGGCGATCTTGGGGGACTCTTGGGATGCCTCGGAGTGCAGGAAGCCCGGGACGGCAAGCACGTTAAACCCATTGCCGGGAGAGGAGCCCAACCGCTTCTATGGGGCCACGAAACGTGTCATGGGTGCGTAAGAATGGACCCGAGTCACAGCCACTGGGGACTTGGGTAGAGCTCCCTATGGGACCACGAGGCGTATGAGGGGTGTGCCGACATGGATCCGAGTCATCATGCAGACGCAGCCACTGGGGCCTTTGGTGGAGCTTCCTAGTGCCGAAATGGACCAGAGTACGAATGCGAACCTTACCACCGGGGCCTTGGGTGGAGTTCCCTATGTGGCCACGAAGCGTAGGAGGTGTGTGTGTGTGTGCCGGAACGGACCCGAGAACACATGCGAATTTTGCAAGTGGAGCCCTCGCTGGAGTTCTCTCTGGGCCACGCAACGTATGAGGGGTGTGCCAACATGGACCCGAATCGCCATGCGGACGTAGCCATTCCAGTAGGGCACTGGGTTGAGCTCCCTATGGGGCCAAGAAGGGCGTGAGAGGTGTTCCGAAACGGACCCGAGTCACCATGTGGACGCATCAACTGGTGCATTGAGTGGAGATCCCTGAGGGACCACGGACCCTGTGACGGGTGCGCCGAAATGGACCCGAGTCACCAATGTGGACGCAGACACTGGGGTTTTGCGTGGAGCTCCCCATGGGGCCACGAAGCGTGTGAGGGATGTGCTGACATGGACTCGAGTCACCATGCGGACACAGCCACTGGGGCCGTGGGTTGAGCTCCCCATGGGGCCACGACGCGTGTGAGAGATGTGCCGAACTGGGCCCGAGTCACCATGCAGACGCAGCCCTTGGGTCCTTGGGTGGAGCTCCCCGTGGCGCCGCGAAACTCGTGAGGGGTGTGCCGACATGCGAAGACGGAGAACGATGATGTTTTGGAAGCGGAAGGAGGAGGGGGAGTACGAGAAGGAGAAGAGAGCAGGCGCGCGGTGCCGCGGATTTAAAACGAGGCCCCTGTCGTAGAGGAGGATTGGGGAACAGCCGGGAATTACCCGGGCGAAGAACCTAACCCATGTTGCACGCGTGGAAGCTATCGGCAGGACCGCTCAATGCAGCTGAACTCGTTCAGGGGTACCGCCGTACCCCTGCCACTGGGGCCTTCGGTGGAGCTCCCTGTTGGGCCACGACACGTGTGAGGGCTTTGCCAACATGATGCCGAGTACGCATGCGGGCCCTGCCATTGGGGCCTTCAGTAGAGCTCCCTGTGGGACCACGAAACGTGTGAGGGATGTATTACAGTGGACCCAAGTATGCATGCGGGCCTTGCCACTGATGCCTTCGGTGGAGCTTCCAATTGGGCCACGAAACGCGTGACGGCTGTGCCAAAGTGGACCCGACTACGCACGCGGGCCTCTCAATTTGTGGCATTCGGTTGAGCTCTCAATTGGGGCACGACGCGTGTGACGGGTGTACCAAAATGCACCCGAGTACGCATGCGGGCCTTGCCATTGGGGCCTTCAGTGGAGCTCCCTATGGGGCAACGGGACGTGTGAGTTGCACGCAACAGTGGACACGAGTACGCACGCGAGCCCTGCCATTGGGGCCTGGGTGGAGCTCCCTTTGGAGCAACCAAACGTGTGAGGAATGTGCCAACATGGACCCGAGTACGCATCCGGGCCCTGTCACTGCGGCTTTGGGTGGAGCTCCCTGTGGGGCCACGCTCAGTGTAAGGGGTATGCCAAAGTGGACCCGAGTACGCTTGCGAACCCTGTCGCTGGGGCCTTGGGTGGAGCTTCCTATGGGGCCACGAACCGTGTAAGGGGTATGTCAAAGTGGACACGAGTACGCATGCGAGCCCTTCCATAGGGTCCTTGGGTGGAGCTGCCTATGGGACCACGAACCGTGTGAGGGGTATGCCAAAGTGGACCCGAGTTGCGGGCCCTGACACTGAGGCCTTCAGTGAGCTCTTCATTGGGCCACGAACCGTGTGAGGGGCACGCCAAAGTGGACCTGAGTACGTATGCTGGCCCTGCCATTGGGGCCGTTGGTGGAGCTCCCTATGGGGCCACGAAGCATGTGACGGGTGTGCCCAACCGAGTGCCGAAAAGAAAATGTGAATGATGATGCCTTCGTTGGGATGAGGAAGTGAAGGGATGAGTGCGGCGGACGTGGAGGTCAGGAAGAGCGGGACGATGTGGGGCGCGGTGTTGCGAATTCAAAACGACGACCCAACACACAGGAGGCTTGGGAATCAATGTGTTTTGAATCCTTGAGCCCGTTTGGGGTCTTGTTGGCACCCCCATGGAGCTTCTTTGGCCGTTTAAGAACAGAATCCCAGATGTCACGCGGCGATCCCCTGGAGCCACGCGAGCGGCCTCGAGACATCTTGCAATGTTTTGCTCCTGTGCCCCCCGGAAGAGTTGGAGCAGCTGCCAGCAGGAAGGGGCTTTAGGGCTCTTGAGGGCCTAAGGCCCAAGGCACGTCGTTGGACTCGCGTGCCTCTTCATTTCTCCCCGTCTCTCGAAGAAGGAAACTGGACACAAACATATCTAGGCCTCCTAGATGGGGTCCGAGTAGATGGGGTCAGAGGGTCGCGCCGCATCGCCGATGCGACGCGATGCGGAGCCCAATTTTCTCCACACCCACTTCGCCAGTGCATCGGCGATGCGGCGCGATCCTGCGTTCCCATCTACTCGGACCCCATCTAGGCGGCCTCCAACACGCACTTTGGGGGTCAGCGCAGGTTTCTTGGATCTGCGTTGGGCCCCCGTGTCTGTGGCACCAGCACGCTCCGTGCCCCAGGGGAGGGGGGGCCCAGCGCGGATTCAAGAAATCCGCGCGAGCCTCCGACAGATCATGTTTATGCCCTTGCTTTCCTGACCTCTCTCCAAGCCTCGTGCCCCTCCCGCCCATCCAGGGCGGCCCCGCCAGACTGCGGCACGGTGTCTGCGCACCACCTTACTTAAAATCGCTGCGCTCACTCCGCCGGCCCGCGTGGTGCCATCATTGGCGTCTGCGTGCGCGTTCGTGGGCCATGCGGCGCTGCCGGTCGGCGCTGCTGCGGCTGTGGGTGGGAGTCCTCATGGATGCTTCTTGGTGTCTCTTCGGAGGGTTCTCGGGGGGCTCCAGTGCAGCAGTTTTGGGGGCCCTTGGGGACGCCTTGGATGCCTCGCTGGGCTCCATTGGCGCCTCGGGCGGACCTCTTGGTCCCTCTTGGGGGGTCCCTGGGGGCCGCTTGGGAGCCTCGTGGGTCCTATTGGGAGCTCCTCGGGGGCCTGGGGAGGGCTCTGGGGGCGCTTTGGAGGCCGAATGCCTATACAGAGCACTTCGTCGGAGGCCGGGGGGGGGGGGCTCTGGCGGCGGTCTTGAGGCCGAACGCTCGAAATGCCCGTCGGGGCTCCGCCTCGAGGGGTCTCCCTGAAGGCGTCTTGGGGCTCTCTGGCCCCGCCTTGGAAGAAACCCTGAGGATCCAGGAGGAGGAGGAGGAGGGGGAGGAGGAGGAGGGGGAGGAGGAGGGGAAGGGGGAGGAGGAGGAGGAGGAGGAGGAGGAGGAGGGAGAGGAGGAGGAGGAGGAGGGGGAGGAGCCCCCTCTCTCCTCGAGGGGGGGGCCCCCTCGCCGACAGAGCCCCCTCTCGCGCGCAGTCTTGGAGTCCCCGCGAGCCGTTCGGGGGCTCTCGTGTTGGCTGAATGGGCCGTTTTGGAGCGATCGTATAGGGGCTTCGTGGGCCTCCTTAGAGCGTCGGCGGCCGAAAAGAGGAGAACACTGAAAGCCTTCAAGAACCAGATGCAAATCGTTGATGTTTGTGCCTCTAGATGGCTTGTTGGGAGTGGTCTTGGAGGCATGTTCTGCCGTCTTGGAGGCGGTTCAAGCCGTCTGGAGGCTATCTTGAGCATCTTGGAACGACTTCCGGTGACACTGGGCCCGCTTAGACCGCCTTGAGGGCCTTTTGAGACGCTCTTGAAGGCCCTGAAGGCAGCCCCCCAGGAGTTCTGGCATACGTGACGGGGGGCAGAGATTATAGTACGCCCTTGGCCCGTTGGGCCAGCAAATTGTATCAGGTTTCGTCAGACATCCAGGGAGGCCCCGCCAGATTGCGGCATGGCAATCTCGGAGCACCACTTCATTTACTAGGTTGCCTGCCCCTCCACCCCTCCCGAGAAGCCCCGCCAGGCCGCGACTGGTGAGAGTGCCCTGCCTGGGCCCGCGACCAAATGAAACCCTGACGTCCAGAACTCCGATAAGTTGCACAGTGACCTTGACCTCTCTCCCTACCTTCTCTTTATCACATCTTCCCTCCTCCTCCTCCTCCTCCTCCTCCTCCTCCTCATCGGCGTCCTAGGTGTTTGCTCGTCCTGATTCGTGTTCGAGGACGCGCGGTTGAGAAGAGCTCGTTTGACGACAACATGATACGTATGTGAAATTTTGCCATCCATCATGGCGAACATGCCATCACCAATTCTGAACGACACAGATCTGGAGTGGTCTCCCTCCCCCCTGCCTGGAATTGGGCTGCAACTCCTGAAATGCTGAACATCGAGCATCGGGCTGGGGTGCATCTCTGGTTGAAGTCCGGGCCTGTTCGGCCCACGCCAACTCGATCCGGCCTCATACTCGTGCATGATACCCAGCTCGACCTGGCCCTTTGATGAACCCCCAATCGTGGCTTCCTCTGGCCGAATCGCTCCCACGACCAGGAGTCGCAGCCTAAGGGAGTCCAGAAACCACCAGCCAGACGCCGACCGCGTCCTGCCTCGCTTGGGCACGAGCAGTCGCGCGGGATCGCTGTCGAGCGAGGCGGGGGTTCATCCATAACCACCGCCTGCAGGGTGTCGAGCTTCGGGGACCCCGGCAGGCGGTGGACATGGACATATTCGGGACCCCAGGGCCCGAATATGTCTGTATCTACGTCACGCCCGCTGGTGAGCCAGGACGTCGGTTCCTTGGCGGTGGTCATGGGTAGATCCCCGCCTCGCACTCACCGAACCCATGCATCGGACGTCGAGATTTTTATGTTCACGAAGTAGCTCCCTTTCCGGAGGACTGGCTTTTCATCCCGGGTCGCTTTTTGACGGTCCTGAGGCCTGGTGACCCAGGGAGCCCCCAGACGCCGAAACTTGTCAAACTATGTCCGTCGTGATTTTTCATGGCGCGAGGATGCCAGGGACGGCTCGCATGCTACAGTCGGCCCGGATTAGTAGGTTGACCCTGCCAACTCAACGGTACCTTTGTGTCTTGCGTCTCGCGACCCGTGCCTCCTGCATCCCTATGGCCATGTGACCCTCGGAAGGGTCCTGTGTCCTCTCGCGTGTCCTGTCCAATCGAGTCCGACTGCACATGCTACCGTGCGGGGACAGGCCTTGCTGCCTGCGAGGCCGCGAGCGGCCCCCCGCCACCCCCGCCCGACAGGATCGTCGTGGACACGGAGCGGGCGACTCGCCGCCGCGAGGGGCGGCGCCCGCCGCCCCCGCGCCGGCCGTGCCCCCGGCGACCTCCGACGCCTCGACGCCTGCAGAGCCCCCTCGCTGCCCGCCCGCGGCCCCCGCCGCGGGCGCCCTCCGAGGCCCCGCCTTCGCGCGCCCGCCCTCGCGGCCGCGCGGCGGGCGCCGGCGGAGGGCGCGGCCGCCCGAGGCGCAGGCGCCGAGGGCGCCGAGGGCGCCGCGCGCGGCGCGGCGCGGGCGCGGCGCGGGCGCGGAGGGCGCTCTGCGCGGTGCGCGGCGGGGCCCGCGGGGCGGCGGAGGGCCGCGCCGCGGGCCGCGGTGGCCGGCGCGCGGCCGGAGCGTGCGCAGCGGCCTCGCGAAGCGGTGCGGTCGAGGCGGGGGGGGGATGTCAAGCAGTGGCGAGGTGTCTTTACCAGCCTCGAACGTATCCCTATCCTTAAGATTGACACGCCAAAAAGCGGTGACAATCGTAGGGATGCGCCCTCAAAAAATAAGGGGAATCCCTAAGATTGGCATCGTGATGAGGAGATGCCCAGCATAGGGATAGGGAGATGTTCCAGGCTGACAAGGGGGGGGAATTTCAAGCAGTGGCGAGGTGTCTTGGCTTCAGTCGGGCCCGTGCCTCCACAGGAATATTCAAAAGCAGTGCAAACACAGTCTGGGGACGATCCTTTTGTGACCACTTCCGAAGATTTTAGGGTATGCTTTGACTATTTTTCATTGTTCGGCTAAAATCGGCCTGTAGGGGACAGGCCCGACCAAGTCTTGGCTTGCCTACGGTCGGCCCTGATTAGTAGGTCGACCCTGTTAAATCAAGGGTACCCTTGTGTCCTGAGCTTCGCGACCAATGCTTTCTTACATTCCTATGGCAATGTGGCCCTCGGAAGGGTCTTGTGTCCTCTCGCGTGTCCTGTCCAATCAAGTTCGACTGTATAGGCTTACCAATATTGGTCTGATAACTTTTTCTGGTCTGCGCGACGTGTTCTTAGAGTATAAGCATCTCTGGCTGAGACCGTTTTGTTTGGATACGTCGGGCTTTTGGTATAAGAGCATTATTTTGGATAAGAACGTTGTTGGATCTAAGGCTCATGATCTAAAAACGTTGTTGGACTCTAAGAAAATGCAGTGGTAGGCCTCTAGGAATGCAGGGACGGTCCGTTCCTGCTCAAAGACTTGGGGAGCCTTCGCACAGGGGATTTGCCCCTAATGGAGGAATGCGTAGCCTCCCGCAGTTGTGGAGAAGGGTGAGGATCAGGGTGAGGGGGAGGGCGCGGGGTTGTTGGCGGTTGGGTCGCGGGTGGGTCGCGAGTGGGTTGCAGGCGAAGACAGCCACGCGCCCAGGGACAGTGAATGATTGCCATGGTGCCGCTTGGGCCGCTGTCGCCGCCCGCTCCGAGCTGGCGCTCCCAGCCTCTGCTGGCACCGCCTCGGCAGTCGTCAGCACCACGGTGGCCGGTTACAGACAGCATTTTTCTGCGGCCTACGCGTGTCGGCGCAGCTCTGTGAAAATTTCTTGAGGTTTCGCCTGGACCATCTTGGTCCTGCATCCAGCTGGCGCCAGCCCTTTGCAGCAAAGCCTGGCGATCCCGGCAACTTGACGGACAACCGAATACTCCTGCTCTTGCAGTCCGTAGACCCTCTTCTTGGTGTACTGGTTCACGTTGTTCTGCACGTTTCCACCGCCTGCAGCCCTGGCTTCGGCCTCTGGGCGAGGCCGTGATGCCGTCCCGCGTCCGTTGCCAGGTCACTTCAGCCCCGGCGGGCTGTTCGGGCGCGCTCGTTCTGAAACCCTTTGCAGCAGGACTGCGAGTGAGTCGCGCGTCCCCGACAACTCGAGCAACTGAGCGGATTGCCTCCGCCGCGCCGCGACGACAAGACCTGCCCACCGTCTCCGCAGTTGGTGCCCCCGAGTGCGAGCGCTCAGGCGCCCGTGCGCTGCATTTGCGCAGGTGTTTTCGTCCAGGTCTGATAGTGATCTGGAGGCAGGGGAGAAACTATGACGAGGAGGGAGAAGGAGGGGGAGGAAGGTCAGAGGAGGGAAAGGTGCCCATACGGCTAGCCTCCGATCGTTTTCCCCTTTGTGGGCTTTCTCGGAGGCCCAGACTTTGGTCAGAGCGCACCGCGGGAGAGGTCCGGGGAGCAGCGGTATGGGTACTGTTGGATCTCCGCAGAAGGCCTCCATTGTATGAAGAGGAGGAAGAAAGGAGAGGGGAGGAGGGAGGGCGGAACCACAGCGCGATCCGCCGCAGCATCGGCGGCAGCGCGCCGGGGTGGACCAGTGCTGCATGCGTGCTGCACTTCCGCGCTTGCCCGCCCAGGTTACAGTCAACGCGCATAGTAAGGACAAACGACTTTTTTCAAGGGTACCCTTGGGTCCTTGCCTGCCTCAGCCTCTGCGGCCCGTCCCTAGCAATGTTCGCAGGCCAGTTTCTCAGGTTCCCTGGGGGTTTGGCCGCCTGCCGCCCAGAATACTTCAATTTCGGCCTCCAAGGGTCTTGCGTCCTTACCACGCGTCCTTACTATACGTTTTCACTGTATATCATGGCGCTTCCGGTCGGAGTGGGCAGGACCGGATGCGCGCTGAACGGCCACAGTTCCCCCCAAGCAGGGTTCGGGATGCGACTGCTGTCCAGTCGCGCTGCAGCAGCCATGCCTCCCTACCCCAGTGGGTGGGCCCGACCTGTCGTCGTTGGTCGTATGGGGGGACAGCGTGACACCGAGGCCGCTGCGTCCAGGACTCCGCTGGGGGCGCGCTCTGACCAGGACTCCGCGGTGAAGATGCCACCTCCGAGCGTGGCGGCGGACGATTTCTCTGAATGCGGAGACAGTCGGCGGGCGAGGGGGGCCAGCCTAGGTTGAAGTCGGGCCTGTCCCCTTACAGGAGGAATATTAAAATATACACCAACAAAACTAGTGCGGGGACAATTTTAAATTATTTTCATTTTTATATTACCTATACGACCACCCTGCGGGTGATAAGGAGGTTTGGGGGGGGGCAGCAATGGGCAACAGTGGTGAATGCTGTTGTGACAATGCCAGTATGAGCGATCAATCATCATCATCAACGTCGTCATCATCATCACAATCATCATCACCATCATGGCCATCATCACCACCAGCATCGCACAATCGATCTCACATTCGGTCTCACTATCGATATCACAATCGATCTCACAATCGACGTCATCATCATCATCATCATCATCATCATCATCATCAGCATGATCATCATCATCATCAACGACACCATCATCATCATTATTATCATCATCATCATCATCATCATCATCATCATCATCATCATCATCATCATCGCCATCATTAGCATCATCATCATAATCATCATCATCATCACCATCATCATCATCATCATCATCATCATCATCATCATCATCATCATCATCATCATCATCATTCTCATCGTCATTACCATCTTCATCATCACCATCATCATTATCATCATAATCATCCACGTCATCATCGGGACACCGACGGGACACCGAAGGGACCCCAGCGGGACACCGGCGGGACACCGCGCGGCACCGGCCGCCCGGTCAAGGTTCTTTTGCCCCGGCCGCGCCTCAGCCAGACGGGACACCAGCGGGACACCGGCGGGACACCGCGGGGTACCGGCCGCCCGGTCAAGATTCTCTTGCTCCGGCCGCGCCTCAGCCACAGGAGACTTTCTCTCGCCCGCCCACGCAGCTTCGCCTCGCCCGCACGGCACGCACGAACACGAAACCGAAATCGATTTCCCGGTAGGGGGGCTCTCCGTTCCACTTCGATCTCACCCCCCAACCTCCGATTTTCTGTTATTTTGGAGCATGTTTGGTTTTTTTTTTTTTTTTTTTTTTTTTTTTTTTTTTTTTTTTTTTTTTTTTTTTTTTTTTTTTCGTCGAAAATCCCCCTGTAGGGGGACAGGCCCGACTTAAGCCAAGGTCCTAGGTCATCCCTAGGGGGCGCGAAGATGGCCGTGCTTCACGCGGCGTGGCTGGGCCAGAATGGTTGGTCCAAGGCTCGGCGGCGCGAGGGCACGAGGGCGCGTAGGCAACCGCGCACTGCGGGGCGCGATGCGCAGAGCTCGGTGGCCCCAGGCTTCAGTCGGGCCTGTCCCTCTACAGGGGGAATATTGAAAAATAGTCAAAAAATAATACGGGGACGATTTGTTCAGTGTTTTTGATTGTTGGGGGGGGGTATTGTTTTTTATTTGTCGCTCAAACCCCCCCAGAGTCAGCCCCAGGGCGCACTCACGCAGTTTCCGCCTCGATCCTCGAGCGTAGAGGTCACGGCTTAAAGCGTGGCGAGTGGTCGGTGATGGCGCCAGACGTCGCGTGCACCAAAATGAAAAACACGGGCAGCAGGCCCCAGAAGGGCTGGCTCTCTTCGTGGAGCCGAAAAACCTGATCCTGGCGCCTTGGCCCATCATGATGCGCTGGCGTCCTTGGAGTCGCAGAAAGAAGCGCCGCGAGCATCGGCCAGGGTGCTCCCAGCCCCGCTGCCCCTCGGCCGGGCCCCCCCCCCCCGCCCCCCCCCCGTCGTCGTGGTCGGGCGCTGCCGCCGCCCCCAAATGGGCGCCTACGGCGCGCTGCGCACGGCCGACGCGCTGCACCCGCTGGACGAGGCCGGCTGCCGCCCACCGAGACCTCCTCTTGGCGGCGCGCAGAGGGGGGTAGGGGGAGGGGGGAAGGCTTCTTAGAAGCACCCCTGCTTCTTAGAAGGCCTCGGCCTCACGTCTATAGAGAAGGCCCGCGCCTTCTCAGAAGCAGGGGTGCTTCTAAGAAGCCTTCCCCCCTCCCCCCTACCCCCCTCTGCGCGCCGCCAATCCTCTGCCAGGGGGGCGCGGGCGGAGAGGGAGGGTTCGGATGCAGCTCCTGGGAGGTCCAATCCTGATTTTCCCCTGGTCCGAAGTCCGGCTTGCTCCCGCTTCATCCCGCTTGATCCGAGGCCCACTCCGGCGCAACAGCTCCCAACTAGGGCTTTATCCTCCTTACTCTTTCCGACGAAAGCCTCCCAGTAGTGTGCCTCCTAAGGAGGGGAGGGCCGAGGAGGATAATTATCAGGAGGGAAGAAACACACAGACACAATTAATCGTCGACCCCCAAGAAATATGGGAAAATATGGGAATTGGTCGGGAAGACAAAAACCCATAATATATGGGAAAATATGGGGAACCTTTTTTATATGTGTGTATTTATTTGTGTGTCTCAGGGCCCCTTCAAATTCAGGTGGAGGCGGGAGGCGGGTCAACGAGAGTCGAGGGGGGTGATGAGGATCGAGGAGGCGGCAGGAACATCGAGGGTCGACGAGGGTCGAGGAGGTCGAGGGACCCCATCAGCTTCCGCATCAGCAAGCTTGAGGAGTCCACTGAGGAGCCATTGGTACTGGCCATGCCCGATCAGATCGGAGTGCTCTAGCAGGTTCAAGGTTGGGACGGCGATTGATGCCGAAAGGACCCACCCCAGGCATCAGCGGTTTCGGCTCTCGGACGCGACCAGTTCGCTTTTGGCGCCTTCCCCCCGAACCCTCACAACAAACAACCGCCATGACGGGCAAAAGGTCAGGTGAGGCAGCCCAGGCCCAGCCACCAGCGAAGAAACCCCAACCCACCAGTCGCTGCGCCCGCCGCTGCCTCTGGCGCGCCGCCTCTCTCTCAGGCACCCGTGGTCCCGCTGTGCATCACGCAACTCCTCGAGACGGAAGGCGCGCCGAGGCAGCAGGGTCAGCTCACGGAGTGGACGCGCCAAGTGAAGAACTACGTCGACAATGTTTTGCACGGTTTCTTGCAGGAGCGCAAGCGCGAGTTGCCTTTCGCGTTGCCGCAGCAGTGCTCTACGATTCCGCCGCTGGCACACTCAAGCTGCCTGTGGCGCAAACCTCATTGCGTTTCGCGAGGTGATGGACTACGACAGCCAGGTTGTGAGCTTCTCCTGGACCAAGTCCCGGACCAAGCAGTGCGAGGCAGCGTGGGCGCTGTGGATGTTGGATCCGATTTGCTCGGACATCGACGACGTCTGCGTAAGCCAGCTGGAGGGTGCCATGGATATGTGGTCGGAAGAGACTGGCCGCGTCTCCTCCAGTCACGTGCCGTCGCGGCTCCTCTCCTCCGACGTGCCTCTCCCAGTCAAGGTGGTGGGCGCCGAGGTCGCCCAGCGCGTTCTGCCTGGCAAGCCTGAAGCTTGCGCGACAGAGCCTCTGACCATGCTCGCGGGGCGCGCGGCGTCGATCACGCGGCGCCCTGCTATGAGCGAGGCGCTCCAGCAGTCCAACGATGACCGCGCGCGGCATCTGTTCAACGCCGCTTTGTCCGCGCCCATCAGGGCGCGCGCGCTGCCCGACGGCGACGCGAGCCACATGGCCGCCCTGATTTTTTCAGAGGCGACGTTCGCTACGCGCGCTGCCTCTGGCGCTGATTCCTTCTGGAGCTTCGCAGAAAAAGCGCGCCGCCCGACGAGCGCGGCGAATTCGCTCGCCAAACGCGAACCGCAGACGAAGCTGGAGGCAGCGATCAAGACCTACGGCCTCGCCTTCAAAGGCAAAGCGCCCGCCGCCGCAAGCGCGGCGGCGTTGAGAGGTCTGCAGCCGTCCGTCCTCGACGACGCCTGCGGTTCGGCGTTCGCGCTGGCCGAAGCGCACTGCCCAGAGCCTCGGGGGCCCGCGCTTCTCGCGAGGATCGGGTGCGCCTGCTCCACGAGGGGTGTCTCTGACGCCAAGGCAAAGGAGTACTTCGTCACCATCATTGGCAGCTTGCGCATGGCCCGCCCAGCGGGCGAGATGCCGAAGGGCGAGGAGCTGTCCGTGAACCGAGTCGCCGGGCGAAAGAGGAAGGCGCCAGCGATGGCCCATGCGTTCCTCAAGAAAAGAGCTCGTCGAGTACATCTTCTCCGGGGCATTTCTCATTGACAAGGCTATGGACAGAGACGTGGCAATATTTCAGACGCCTTCAGCATCGCGCAGAAGTTCGCTACCTCTGGTGCGGGTGGGCTCGCGGCTTCGCGCCGGATGTCCGAGTCGGGCGGCTCCGACGGGATGCGCGCGCCGTTCGCGCTCATAGTGGCCGATGATCGACGTTGCGCGGCCCGTGTGGGCCGGCGCTTTCGACGGGGCAGTTGCCGAGCTCACCTTGCAGGAGATGCAAAGCGGCTCTGCAGGGTTCCTTCGGCACGCGTACCTCAACGAGACCAGCCAGCAGGTGGGTGCCACTTGCCGCGCCTTCGCGGCCGCGCGCGCCAGTGGACCGATCCCGGCCGCCCCCGACCACAACCGACTTCTCGGGTTGTCGGGGGTCTCCGAGCTCGGGGGCGAGCAAAAAGAAGGGGTTCCTAAGCTGCAGGAGCAGCTCAAGCAGCTCCGCAGGAAAACCGTCAAGTTCGCCACCTTGCCTGTTGTCGGCGCTGCCTCTGGCGCGGGGTTTGCCGCGGCGAAGATGCAGAGCGCGCGGGGGGAACTCAGCCTCGGGCACCGCTCCGGGAGGAAGAACGGCGACGTCCGCGCGTTCGTCGTCTCGGCGGAGCTGCCCCCGCCCAGCGCGACGAAGCAAGGCGGCAAGGCGAGGCTCAGCGAGCCGATGCTCTCGGACGAAGCCAAGTTCAAGCGCGCCCATGAGTTCTTCGCTGCGAAGAAGGGGGGGGGGGAAGAGGGGGGTGGGGGGGGGGGGGGGGGGGGGGGGGCGACGCCCCATCCTTCGACGGCAGGGGCAGGGTGGACCGCCGTGCGATTGGGCCCTTGGAGGACAAGTTGGCGACGGGAGGCTCCCGCGCGCTCGTTGAGCGTTGGCGCGCGCGCGCGGCCGACCAAGAAGGAGGGCCCGCGGGCCTCGGCCAGGGCGTCGAGCTACACCATAAACAACAAGGAGATGACGTATTTCTCGCTGCCGCTGAAGGGCTCGCGGAAAGTGGCGAGCCGTTCGGAGTTCAACTCGTGCGGCGATACCTCGGGCGCAGCCGCGACACGCGCTGGCATCTCCGCGCGGCGCTTCTCGGAGCCCCCCCGCATGTGCCGCGACGCCTGGGCGAGCATCCTGGGGGCTGCATATCGAGCCGCGCTCGATAACGAGCATGTGCGCCTGCAGGGTAATTTCGACGAGAAGGGTCACCTGTTCCCGTGCAACGGGTTGAAGCCTATCTCCCTCTGGCAGACGATCATGGGGCAGCGCGAAGTGGCCCGCGTCGTGGACTTCGCCCCAGGTTCTGGCGCCTTGGGCGTCGCTGCCTCTGGCGCGGTGGAGTGCGAGGGCATCGCCGGCAACGAAGCGCACCGGGACTGGCGCGACTCCATCGTGGACAGGCGCGTCGTGCACAGGGCGGGCCACGAGGGCGGGTGCGCGAAGCAATTGGGCGGCGACGTGGAGTTCGTCGAGGAAGCCAGCAAGTACTCCGGCGGCGCCGCGATGGAGACGCCCCGGTCGTTGATGCCAGTCGCCGAGGGCGACGACGACGAGGAGGAGGATGAGGCTGAGGGGAGCTCGGACTCGAACTCGACGGTTGCCTGAGACACTGCATCTGGCGTGACGCGACGCTCTCTGGCGTGCCGCGTGCCACATGTCAGAGCAGTCGAGTTGAGCGGAGGAGAGCTCGAGTGCGAGAGGTGGCCGCTGGCTCTGGCTCTGGCGCGTTTGTTCTCGCGCAGGTTTTTTTGGGCAGCGCGCGGCGGCGCGTGCGTTTTGACGTTCCGTGGCGCGCGCCGCTGCGCGCGATGCGCATTCGCGGCGGGCCTGGTTTGCTCGCTCAGCGGGCGACGCGTCTGCCGACAATGATTTGTTGGCTGCGCTTGACATGCGTTTGCGGAAACGCTCCGTTGGAAAAATATGTTCGCAATCATCGCTGTCGTCGTCGTGGCCGGTGGTCATGGTTGCCGTCGTCACCATTGCCGCCATCACCATTACCATCATCAGGTCGCGGTCGCGATCCTCGTCGTTATCATCGCCATCAGCGCAACCATTGCCGTCATAGTTACCATTTTCAGCATGACCACCCCAAACGTAACCAGCAACAACACAAACATTGAACATAACCACCAACTACTAAACAATAACACAACGGGGCCACCCCAAAAGCAAACATGACCACGCGAAAAGTAGACAGGACCACCCCAACAAGTAAACTGGACCACGAGAAAACTAAACAGGACCACCCCAAACTGTAAACAGGCTCGCGAGAAAACTCAACAGGACCACAGAGAAATTGAACAGGACCACGAGAAAATTAAACAGGACAGCGCCGAAACTAAACAGGACCACGGGTGAACTAAACAGGACTGCCCGTAAAACTAAACAAGACCACGCAACAAGTAAACATGACCAGCAAAAAGTAAACAGGACCACGGAGAAACTAGACAGGACCTTCTTTTCACGGCGCGCCTTCCTCAGTACAGGTCGCGGGCGCCCCCAACCCTTTTTTCCTCCTCCTCCTTTTCCTCCTCCTCCTCCTCCTCCTCCTTTTCCTCCTCCTCCTTCTCCTCCCTCCGCCTCCCCATCCCCTCCTCCTCCTCCTCCGCCTCTCCTCCTCCTCCTCCTCCTCCTCTTCCTCCTCCTCCTCCTCCTCCTCCTCCTCCTCCTCCCCTCCTCCTCCTCCTCCTCCTCCTCCTCCTCCTCCTCCTCCTCCTCCTCCTCCCCACCCGATTGCCAGTTGCGGACGTGCATCGGCCGATACGAGGGCTGCGACCTGCGCATGGAGGAGGGCGGGGGCAGGCGCTGGGGACCTCTGATCATCGAGAAGAAAGCCCGCATGACACAGTAAAGACTCGGGGGTGGACAAAACCCCCGCCCTGACACGTCGATTAGTGAATTGCCCTTTTCGGTTCTCGAGAGGCCGCCGCGGCCGTCATTTTCCAGGCTGGCGCCCGCCAGGCTTGGGCCCGAGGTCGTTTTCACGAAACCACGTTTTGCGAAAGGGGGTTCTGTCCATCCCCGAAATTAAACAATAAAGACGTGGCCTCGCTGAGGTCCCCGTCTGTGCATCAGGGAGATAAAAAGTACGTGGGCGGTCTGGATCGATGCACGTGCAGAACGAAGCCCCTGTCCCCGATGTTTTTTGGACCTTCGAACTCTGGTCCCCTCCCAAAGAGGATCAGGGGTCCTTTTTCGGTCGATCACTGGAGCGGCGGCCGCGGCCGTGAGCTCGAGGACCCGGGCTTCAGGATAGAACGTTGGATTACGTGGGGGCCTCTGGCAGGTCGCTCGTCGCCACGGCCAGACCCCCTCCGGAATGATGGTGTGGGAGCGCGCCCTGGGAAAAGGGCAGCAAGGAAAAAAACGCAGACACCGTTAATCGTCGATTCCCTAGAAAGTATGGGAAACTATGGGAAGTGGGGGGAAGACAACATCCCAGAACATATGGGATAATACAGGGGAATCTTGTTATTTGTGCATTCATAGAGGGGGGTGATGACTAGGGGGGTGGCTATCATGGCGGGGGACATGATATTTCCCCAGATTTCATAGCGCCTCTTCTTATTTCATTACGTTCCTGCCCCCCCCCTCAATGGCCGCGCACATGCCGCCGGCCATCATTTGCGTCCCCCCCTGTTGGACTCCCCTCTCTCGGCCTCCCCCGAGGTTTTATTGGTCCGCATGAAAAACGAGTTCCGAAATGAGTTGCGAGCTGATTTCACCTTCTTCGGTCTCTTGAGGCTTTTTCAAGGGGCAGAAGCGCCTCGGCATCCAGCGCTGATCCTCGGGGAAGCGTCGTGGGTCGAGGACCCGCTTTGTTTTTCGTTGCGGACCCCTGCAGTGTCCCTCAGTTCCAGTGCGCGCGGAGGGGACAACGAGGGCCTCGTGCCATAATTACTGACCCTTCCTTTTTCCAGCAGCCCGACCGCACCTGCTTTGCCAAAGGGGGCAGGGGCAGAACGGCGTCGGCCCCGCGAGCATGCCGCGGGCTTCTGGCACGGGGCCGGCCTCTCTCGCGGGCCCCTCGCAGCAGAGCCGGAGGGGTAAAACGACGCGAAGATCGGGACAAAATCGGATCGGGATAACTCGAAATCTCTGAGAATCGGCGGGTTTGGAGGATGTATTGGGCGCCGCGGCCGCTCCAGAGCGTTCCGGAACGCTCTGAGAGCGCTCCGGAACGCTCTGGAGCGATTTATCCCGATCCTAGCCCTGTTTTAAGGGGGGCCGGGGCAGAAGGGGGTCGGGCCGTCCCCCTGCATGTGGTTCCTCTCCTGCCCGTCCGAGGGGTAGTTTTTTGAAGGCAGGGCGTCGGTCGGACTCTCTCTCTCTGCCCTCAAGAACCGCCAGAGGTCCCGAGTTTTGGACCCCCCCGTCCCTTTTCTCTCGGCGGTGAGGAGGACTGGTCCTAAACCTTCCTCCTCCCAACCTCCTCCTCCTCCTCCTCCTCCTTCTCCCTCCTCCGCTCGAACGGTAGCCCACCTGTCCCTGCTCACTTTTGTGCTTGTTGTGATGGTCTCCCCATGCCGCTACCACTTGTGCTCTGGGGCTGGGAGGATATCCTCCTGTGCCCGCCTCATTCGCACCTTACGCACGCCTTTTCTGTACGCGGATACACGATGATCCGCCTCACTCATCCTTTCACCTACATATTCATTTCCAGTCATCCTCCTCCTCAGGAGTGGCACGAGGAGGAGGAGGAGGAGGAGGGTGCCGCGGGGAAAAGAAAGTTCTCCCCTATTGGTGAGACCGCAGTCCTTCAATGAGGTCGCCGCAAAATAATTCATTACCCTCATATTGGGGGGGGGGTCAAAAGACCTTTCAGGGTTAACCCTCTGGAGCCCCCCAGTAGAAGGCCGCCGCTGGGCACCGCCAAATTCTGACGCTTTGAGGCCTCGGGAGGTTCCCTGGAGGCCCCCTGCTGGTTCAAAGGAGGCCTCCCGCGCTTGGCCGGCCCTTCCCGTACATGTTGTGCACGTCCGCGCGGGGTTCCAGGCCGTTTGTCGGCAGGGGTCCATCCCTGCGCAGCGGAGGGGCGATGCAGAGGCAGACAGACGGCAGAAGCAGCTGTAGCCTTGAGAATCAGTTCTCGCTCCTTCCGCCCCTTTCGTGTTCGGTGGAACGCCATCTTTTCCTCACACTGGCAGTGTTGTATCGCCCCCGCCCCTTCTGCTCCTCCACCTTCTGTAAGCTCAGTACGGGATCTGAGCATGATCCCGATAGGGATCCCATCGAGCAACAACAGGAACCCACTAGAGTCCAACATTACCTCGATACGATCTCAGTCGGGTTGCAGTCGGATTCATATCTCGTTCTCATGCGTCTACACTCGGATACCTACATACCGTTGTGTTTTGGTCCCCACCCCCAGGAACGTGTATTGCAATGTTTCTTCTTTCTATATCCCTGGGGTGGTTCCTCATCTGTTTTTTTCTGATCGTAATTCTGGCATCCACGGCCAATGACCCCGTGTGAAGATGGCGAAAGATGAAAGGTGGCGCGTGACCCTCACCCTCGTTGTGCAACTCTCTAACTGCTTCCGGTCATGCGAAAGGCGTGGGGACTCCAGCGACTTGCATTTTGGCGCGTGCTTCGCAGAGTCGGTGCGAATAGTGAACTAGAATGGACGCAGGGCTGGCATGCACGTGCACACGAATTGCCACTACACTCAAGCGCAACAATTCGCAGTCCAGTATCGCGGAGCTGACTGGACACGAACATGTCTTGAGCACCGTGCATGACGGGGAATCTCCTTAGATCGGGACCTCTGATACATCAAGGGCGATGCCAAACATTGCGCACACATTTTGCCGAAGCGGTTGTAGGAGGAGGGTGGTCCTCGATCTTGGATCCTCCCCCTCTCTTCTTCTCTCCTCCTATTATCGCCCCATCTTCTCTTCCACCTCCATAATGACACACTATAAATCCTGCTACATGTTTCAATTGCAGGACTTACGTATGTTTTGTTGTGTATTTCAATAAGGACGTCTTTGGTCGTTCGAGAACGGGTCTCTCGCTTCAGTATTGGCCACCTTTCAGGATCGCTATTTGTCTCGCATCGTTCAGGATGGTGCTCTCGCCCCAGTGTGGGCTCCATGTCTCGATACAGTTCGTTCCTCGTTGTTGCGATCCCCCTCATCTCCGCTCCGCCGCCTTCCGCACATCCTCTTGATCCTCCCCCTCCTCCCACATCATCCTGCTATTCCTCCTGCTTGACCGCATCCACTTTTCCCCCCCGTCGGATTGCGCATGACACGATGAGGTCGCTGTTGGGACCAAGGTCCTCTAGAACACCCCCGTCGGCGAAAATAGAAGGATTCACCGCAATTGAAAGTGTTGGATGGGACGGGTAAGGTCAGATGCGGCGCTAACGCACTTGGCTTGTCTTCTGGCCTCTCTCCGCTGTCCTCCCACCTTTTCCTCTTCCCCCCCCCCTCCGTCCTCCTGACTTTCCCTCTGCCCGCAGCCCGAACGGCGCCCGATCGGCTGTCGTGGCGCTGCCACCTGCTTCGAGCCACACGGGGAGACGACCCGGCTCCTATCGGACGCGAGTTTTCCTCGCCGCTGCCTGCGTGGGGGGGGCAGCAGCGAGAGAGCAAGCAGCAGCCCGACGAGGGGCCCAGCCGTGTGCAGCTGCGGGCCCCGCGGGGGAGACGAGGCGACGGAGGGGGGCGCGCAGACTCCGAGCAGCGCACGCGGTGTACAGTCAAAAACCCTACTGAGGACGCGCGGTAAGGACGCAAGACCCTTGGAAGCCGAAGTTGGGATTTTTGGGGCGGTGGACGATGAAAACCCCAAGGACGCAAGAGCAAGGAAGAGCAAGGACGCAAGGGTACCCTGAGTAAAGTCGCGCGTCTTTATTAGGGTTTTTGATTGTAGCCGTCTGTTTTTTGAATGCAGCGCGCCGCAGGAAGAACGAGGCGCGGGGCCGTGCGGGCAGGAGGGACGGGCCGAGCGGGAGGGTGGGCTCTCGGATGTGTCCCCCTCTGCGTATTCGCGCCCTGGAGGCCTCGGCCGGCGCGTAGCTGTTGCCTCGCGCGTCCCGTCTGCTTCAATTTTCCCGCGTTTCCTCTGCCTAATTTGTCTCTGCGTAGCCCGTTTTGACTTGACTCGCCGCCGGCGCGCTCGCCCGCGGCCGCTAACTAAAGAAGGATTCGCGCCCTGGTGGCCGCGCTGAGCAGAGCGCAGCGCGGAGGCCCCGCGACGCGCGCCGGTCGCCCCGCAGGGGTCCGGCCGTCCACGTCGACGGCGACGACTCGGAGACGGCGGAGCGGCCTTGTCTGCACGAGCCTCAAGAAACGTCATCGACGAAGACGACGACAACGTCTGGGATGCCTGGGCCGACGACGTCGACGAAGACGGCGACGACGACAATGGCCGAAATTCTGGGGCCTCCAGCGGAAAAGTACGCAGGTCTCCACACGCACCCCCGAAACCCACGGGGGCCCTCGGTAGGCCTCGAGCAGCTTCGGCAGCTTTCGGGAGCGAGCGCGTGGGCCGCCGCCGGTCACTCGGAAGGGCGCTCGGCGAACCGCAGCTGCTGGACGACACCCCTAATATTAAGTCGGGCCTGTCCCCTTACAGGGGGATTTTCAACGAAAGAAGGTCAAAAAGTACCCCAAAAATGGTCCCCAGACTACGCTTTGATTTTTTTGATTATTTTTGGGGTACTTCTTATTTTTCGTCGAAAATCCCCCTGTAGGGGGACAGGCCCGACTTAACCCTAGTACAGAATACCTCCAAGAAGTGGAATCGGCAACCGTCACCCCTGGTGGATCTCCCTATGGGGCCACGAAGCGCATGAGCGAGTCATCGACTGGAGCCTTTCGGTGGAAGTGCGTCTGTGGCCACGAACAGTGTGAGTGGTGTGCCGAAATGGGCGCGGAACGCATGTGAACGCAGCCACTAGAGCCTTCGGTGGAACTCCCCATGGGGCCACGACTCGTGTGAGGAGTGGAAAAATTGGGCGCGGGACGCATGTGAGCGCAGCCCTTGGGGCCTTCGCTGGAGCTCCCGCTGGGGCCACGAACCGTGTAGGGTGTGCCGAAATGAGCACGGGACGCATGTGAACGCAGCCAGTGGGGCCGTCGGTGGAGCTCCGCACGGGGCCACGAACCGTGTGCGGGGTGTGCCGAAATGGGCGCGGGACGCATGTGAACGCAGCCATTGGGCCCTTCGGTGGAGGTCCGTATGGGGCCACGAACCGCGTGAGGGATGTACCGAAACGGGCGCGAGACGCATGTGAACGCAGCCATAGGGGCCTTCGGTGGAGGTCCGTATGGGGTCACGAACCGCGTGAGGGATGTGCCGAAATGGTGCACATGTGGAGAGCAGATGCACGATGCTGACGATGACGATGGTGACGATGTGGGTGATGGCGATGGCGATGGTGATAACTGAGAAGACGACACAGATGATGATGATGATGATGATGATGATGATGATGGTGATGATGATGATGATGATGATGATGATGATGATGATGATGATGATCATGATCATGATCATGATCATGATCATGATGATGATGATGATGCTGATGATGATTTGATGATGATGATGATGATGGTGATGTTGATGATGATGATGTTGATGTTGATGATGATGATGATGAGCTGATGCTGTGATGATGATGCTGATGATGATGATGATGATGCTGATGCTGATGCTGATGATGATGATGATGATGATGATGATGATGATGATGATGATGATGATGATGATGATGATGATGGTAAAGATGATGATGATGATGATGATGATGATGATGATTGATGATGATGATGATGATGATGATGATGATGATGATGATGATGATGATGATGATGATGATGATGATGACTTGCGGAGGGCAGGGGGATGGTGGGGGTGGGCAGGGGAAGCATGGGAGGAGAACGGAGGGGGGGAGAAGAAGGGCTGACGCAACGCGGGGCACTGTCTCCTCACAACGCGGACCCAGCACCGCGGGATGGTTAGCATAGAGCACATTGGAGCTGGCGCCGCCCAGAAGCCACGAGCACGCAGGCCACCACCGCGCCGCCTTCTGCCGCTGCCACCGCTCGGCGCTCCGCCGAAAGTCCGAGCCGCGCGGTCGCCACGGCAGTGCCAGAGAGGGCAGGGGGCGGGGCAGGCCCGCGGCATCTCCCGCTTCCACGCCGAGCTCGTCTTCACGGCTGGAGGGAGGAGGGAGGAGGGAGGAGGGAGGAGGGAGGAGGGAGGAGGAGGAGGGAGGAGGGAGGAGGGAGGAGGGAGGAGGGAGGAGGAGGAGGAGGAGGGAGGAGGGAGGAGGGAGGAGGAGGAGGAGGAGGAGGAGGAGGAGGGGAGGAGGGAGGAGGAGGAGGAGGAGGAGGAGGAGGAGGAGGAGGAGGAGGAGGAGGAGGAGGAGGAGGAGGAGGAGGAGGAGGAGGAGGAGGAGGCGGAGCGAGGAGCGAGGAGCGAGGAGGGAGGAGGGAGGAGGGAGCAGGGAGCAGGGAAGCAGGGAGCAGGGAGGAGGGAGGAGGGAGGGAGGAGGAGGAGGAGGGAGGAGGGAGGAGGGAGGAGGGGAGGAGGGAGGAGGAGTTGGAGGAAGGAGGAGGAGGAGGAGGAGGAGGAGGAGGAGGAGGAGAGGAGGAGGAAGGAGGAGGAGGAGGAGGAGGAGGGAGAGGAGGAGGAGGGAGGAGAGGGAGGGGGAGGGAGGAGGGAGGAGGGAGGGGAGGAGGGAGGAGGGAGGAGGGAGGAGGAGGGAGGAGGGAGGAGGGAGGAGGGAGGAGGGAGGAGGGAGGAGGGAGGAGGGAGGAGGGAGGAGGGAGGAGGAGGAGGAGGAGGAGGAGGAGGAGGAGGAGGAGGAGGAGGAGGGGAGGAGGAGGAGGAGGAGGAGGAGGAGGAGGAGGAGGAGGAGGAGGAGGAGGAGGAGGAGGAGGAGGAGGAGGAGAGGAGCGAGGAGGGAGGAGCGAGGAGGGAGGAGGGAGGAGTGCGGCGGGCGCGACCACCGCGAGCGCTTCTTGATGGCTTCTGCTGTGGCCCTGGCATCGCTCGGACGTGTGTGCATTTTTTCTCGGCGAGAACCATCGAGGACCACCCTGGGCCGTCAAGCAATCACAACTTTTTGGTCGGCGGGTCGGGAGCGGGCCCCTTCCGGTTAAGAGCTAGGCGGGGCGCGCGAAGCACTAATTTGGGAGACAGGGCGTCGAGCAACAAAACACGCGCGAAACCGAAACGTGCACGGAAAAAAGGGCGTCCGAGCGATGGCGAGCGGCGGCGAGATCTGTGCACAGCCACTGCGCCCGGCGGAGCGGTGCAGGCGCCTTGTTGGCTTGGCCAGGGAGGCATCTGCACCGCTCCCTGGGACTGGGATGAGCCTAGCCAGGAGCAGTGGATATGTGGAGGCTGCTCCCTCCTCCCTCCCCACTCCTCCCCCCTCCCCCCTCCTCCCTCCTCCTCCTCCTCCTCCTTCCTTCCTTCCTTCCTTCCTTCCTTCCTTCCTTCCTTCCTTCCTTCCTTCCCTTCCTCCTCCTCCTTCCTTCCTTCCCCTCTCCCCTCCCTCCTCCTCTCTCCTCCTCCTCCTCCTCCTCCTCCTCCTTCCCTCCTCCTCCTCCTCCTCCTCCTCCTCCTCCTCCTCCTTCTCCTCTCGCTGCCATATTGTCCGTCCATTCTTGCAACCCGCAGCGTTCGCGCTCCCAGTCTGTCCCCGTCGAGCTCGGCCACTCGGGAGGCAGGCACAGGGGGAAGCCAGGGGCAAGAGCAGAAGTGGTCCAGCGCGCCAGCTGGTTCTTGCAGCTTGCCCGTGGGCGTTGACAGCACCAGCCCTCGGCCTTTCCCGCAGCTATGATTGCAGTGGAGGCCCGTGCCAAGAAACACCCTGCTTGCCTCCAGCGGGCTCCGGGTTTCTTGGGTTTCGATGGTTTTGCTATGGAGAGCATGACGTTCCTGGGGTTCTAGGGATGGGTTCCTTGTGGAAGGTTTCTTGTGGTCAAGCTCTCACTGTAGTTGTGCATCTCTGATCATCCGCCAATCGCCGTTCCGGGCCGCGCTTCCCTCACGTACGAGGAGTTTGCTTGTGGAGTTTCAGGCTGCAGCCTTGAACCAATGTGCGACGCAGCTCTGCCAAGGTGGTCGCTCCCTGTGCCTCGTTCCGTACGTGATTTGCCTTGCGCGAGACACAGCCCATTTCCGCGTGACGCACATTAGAAGCACAGTTCGAGCAAATCTCAACAAAGTGCGGGGCACATGAGAGCCACATGCCGTGCGCACTGGATTCGCAGGGGAGTCATCTGCGGTGTAAACGTGGCAAGTGCGCACGGGATACGCGTGGGAATCGAATTTGGCAAGCACGTGGTTCACAAGATGAAGCTACGATAAAGGTGTTGGTCGCGTGCGTAGCACAAGTGACACAGTACGACACATGCCATGCGTCATAACAGAATTCCATATGATCCTGTGCTGTCGGCCGTCTTGATTACTCTCTCTCACGGCGGCGGGGGTCTGCAGGCCCTTTTCGAGATCGATTGCGCTGTGGACGCGCTGGGGGCGGGAGGACCAAGTACTTGGGCGGCGACGGCGTCGGCGTACGATGGTGTCGGGCGTGTCCCCCTACAGGGGGATCTTCGACGACAAATAAAAAAACACCCCAAATAGCAAAAACATCGTAGAAAAATAATCTGGGGACTATTTTGTTGAGTAGTGTTTGATCTTTTTGGTGTATCTTTGGGGGATTTTTTTCCGTCGACAATCCCCCTGTAGGGGGACAGGCCCGACATAAGCGTACGAGGACGTCGACCCCACCCAGACCCGACGGGGGGCGCGATCTGGCCAGAGCTCCAGGGAGGGAATCCCCGCCGTGGCGGCGAGGGCGCCTGCAGGGGGCCGCGAGAGGCGCAGCGGCGACCCCCGGGACCCCCCGGAGCCTCGATTAGGGGAACAGAAAGTGGCATAAACATGGATGGAGGGAGGGGAGGAGCGGGGAGGAGGAGAGAGGAAGGTCGGGGGGAGGAGGCGGAGCGATCGCCAAACGACCCATGTGAACTGTGAGAGTGAGGGGGAGGAGGAGGCGCGACCCCCAAACGGCACATTGTGACTGGATGCAAAGGGAGACCACCTAGGGGAACAAAAAAAAACATAAACATAAAAACTCGGAGGTCCGCGCGGATTTCTCGGATCGGCGCTGGGGCCCCCCGGCGGCGCCTCCGGCGCCGCCCCTGGCGCGCTCCGCGCGCCAGGGAGGGGGGTCCAGCGCCGATCCGAGAAGTCCGCGCGGACATCCGAGTTTTTATGTTTACGCTTCTTTTTGTTCCCCTATCGATCCTCGACGGCGGCGGCGGCGCTGTGGCGGTGACCCCCCGGGGCCCAGAGTTATACGCCACCACCACCTCCCTCATCGCCCCCCTCCCTCTCCTCAGGAGTGAGGAGGGGGAGGTGAGGGTGGGTGGATGAGGGCCCCAACTGGTCTCCGCCACCTCCAGGAGAAGAGAAAACACCATCTACATGGACTGTTGGCGCTCCGCGCGGAGTTCCTGGATCCGCGCTGGGCCCCCCCTGGCGGCGCCTCCGGCGCAGCCCCTGGCGCGCTCCGCGCGCCAAGGAGGCGGGACCGCGCAGGTCCAGGAAAACCGCGCGGAGCGCCAACAGTTTATGTAGGCGGCGTTTTCTTTGGCCTGGCCGTGGCGGAGACCAGTTGGGGCCACTGGCATGTCCATCCACCAGAAGAAGGACAAATAACATAAACTTACACTTTCGACGGTCCGAGCGGATTTTGTTGGATCTGCGCTCGGCCCCCCTGGCGTCGCCTCCGGCGCCGCGCCTGGCGCTCCAGGGAGGGGGGCCAATCCGCGCGGAGCGCCAAACGTCTATGTTTGAGGCGTTGTCGTTCCTTCGACAGGTGGCGCAAGAGTTATGTCGGGCGTGTCCCCCTACAGGGGGATTTTCGACGAAATAAAAGATACGCCAAAAATGCCCCAAGAAGGTCAAACAATACCAAAAAAAAACAAAGTCCCCAGACTATTTTCCGATTTGTTTTTGTTTTTGTTGGGGTTATTTTTATTTTTCGTCGAAAATCCCCCTGTAGGGGGACAGGCCCGATTTATCCCAAGAGGGCCGAGCACGCTCAGGGCCCCCGAACGTCGATCGGGTCGGGACCTCCTGGGGTCGGGGGCCCCTTCTACAGTGGAGGCCCTTGCCAAGAAGCACCCGGCTTGCCTCCACGGTGCTTGGGCCTCCTGGGTTTCCATGGTTCTGCGATGGAGAGCGCGACGCTCCCACACCACAGAAATCAATCGACGTCCTGGGTCCCAGGGTCGGGTTCTTTTGGAGGGGTTCTTGTGGTCGGGCCCTCACTCTACACTCTGCCCTGCACCTGGAGGCCCCCGTGAGGTCCGAAGAGGGCCGAACACGCTGAGAACCCTCGGATGTCGATCGGGTCGGGACCCCTTGAGATCCGTGTGCCATGCACCTGGAGGACCTGGAGGCCCCCGTGAGGCCCGAAGAGGACCGAACACGCTGAGAACCCTGGGACGTCGACCGAGTCGGGCGACAAGGGGGGGGAGACAGGGAAGGGGGGGGGCGACAGGGAAGGGGGGCGGACGAAAGCAAGGGGGGGGACAGGGAATGGGGGGGGGCACGCAAGCTGCTGCATGCAACTGGTCTCGGCCCCGCCGAGAGGGGCGCCTTCCCTCGGCAGATGGGAGCCTCCCAGCGCCAGTGGGGGCGCCCGGACAACCAGCTACGCGAGCTGCTGCTTCAGCCCCTCCCGTTTTCATCAGGCGATCGCAGACATGGATCAAGGGGGCGTGGATTAGCGACGGGTCCAGCTTCCATGGGCAACCGCGGATCTCCGCCGTCGGCGGCACCGGCCGCATATTTTGGGGAGGGCGCTGTCGCCAAATCCATTGATCGCCCACCCGTGTTTGCGCGCCCTCGATCGACGACCAGGACGACCTCCAACTGCAGTTCGAGCCTGGAGCCTCGATCCTGGGGCCTCCAGCCTCGGCCATCGGTGCACGACGACGACGACCACGGTGTCGCCCTGGACCTCGAGGCCTTGGCAGGCCCCCGCGGGGCCCGGACAGGGCCGAGCACATTCGAAGCCCTCGATCTTCGAGTGCCGGCCATCGATTCGAGTCGGGCGTGCCCCTCTGCAGGAGGAAGATTCAAGAACAGTTTTTGAGTCATGGTCTGGTGACGATCTTTCGTGCTCCTCTGGTCCTCTTTGGCTCTTCTTGGCTTTTTTTTATTTCTCTAGTCCAAAATCCGCCCGAAGGAGGCCGTGAGCGACTGGACTTTCGATCGATGACGACGGCGGCCACGGCCTCGATCCTCGACCCTCCGCGCTAGGCCCCCGACTTCCCATCGACGACCACGACGTCGACGTCGCCCCGCGCGCGGCGATCGAGCCCGCACGGGCGCGCGCCCGTGCGCACTGCGCACCTGCGGTGGCGAACGCTGGCGGCGTCGACGCCGTCGACGGCGATCGGGCTCGCTCCTGCGGCGGCAGCGGTGGGCCCCTCCTGGATCGGGCCAGACGAATGGGGGGGTTTGGGAAAGGGGGGGTTAACGAAATCTGCTGCATGCAGCTGGTTTCGGCCCCACCGAGGGGCCCATTCCTCGATACATGGGCGCCTCCGGCGCCGGGAGGCGCTGGGAGAATCAGCTACGTGAGCTGATTCTCAAACCCCACCTTTGCTATCCCCCCCTTTCGCCCGGCCCGAGTTTCTGGGGCGACGGGGGTGAGGGCAATGCTTTCGTAGGGCAAGAGCAAGCATGAGCAGCCCAATCGTCGGCAAGAGCAGACCTGAAATCAGAGCTCCTCGCGAAGGGCGGCCGGAAGGATTGCGGTTGACCGATCCAGCGCGCCCGTCGAGCGTACGGGGATCTGGCCCTGGAAACAACGTTGCCCCCCCAGCGACCTTCAAGTCGACGTCGCCCGTGGAGCGCGTGGGGGATCGACTGCAGAATTGAGCTGCCCCAAGATTCTTGGCATCGCTCGCACGTGTGCGTTCTTCCTCGGCGAGGACCATCGAGGAGCATCCCGGAGCATCGAGCAAAAGAAACGCGCACAAGTACGACAAAGGCACGGGCCATCGACATCCGAGCGATGGCGAGGATTGGTGTCTCCGTCGAGTCTACGGAGAATGCGCAGAGAATTCTCCGCAGATCGAGTGTGAGAGCATTCGGCGCATTTCTCGCGGGTTCGATGGGGGAATCAGTTTGGGGGCAATGCGATTGTGTCGTCGGTCCCCTACAGTGGAGGCCCATGCCAAGAAACACCCTGCTTGCCTCCTGGGTGCCATGGGTTTCTTGGGTCTCGATGGTCTTGCCATGTGGAGAGCGTGGCGTTCCCGCGCCCAGAACTGAAGGGACGCGCTGGAGTCTCAGGGTTGGGTTTCTTGTGGAAGGTTTCTTCTGGTCGGGCCTCCTCTGTACTCGAGGGGAGCGTCGGGGAGTCGGTGGCCCTCAAGCGGCCCTGCAAGGGCCCCTCGGACCACCCCCCGACCCTCGCGGTGCAGAAGCACCGTATCGAGTGGATGAGGGAGGGCAAGCCACCGCGACAGTGGTTGGTTATCAGCCCCTCCCCATACCTCCATTTCATCTAGCGTTTGCGTTCGGGCGACTTAGACTCTAAGCCTCCTAGATGGGGTCGGAGTAGATGTGGTCGGAGGATCACGTTGCATCGCCGATGCATCGCCGATATGGCTCGATGCGGAGCCCGATTTGCTTCACGCCGACGTCGCCGATTCATCGCCCGTTGAGCGGCCGCGCCCGTGCGCGCCCGGCCCTGCCCGTGGAGGCGGAAGGGGGGAGGCCGGCGGCCGCGAGCCGACGCTGTGCGACCTGGGCTCCAGCAACGGCACCTTCGTCAACGGCGAGCGGCTCGCGGCGCGGGAGCCGCGTCGTCGTCGTCGTCGTCGTCGTCGTCGTCGCGATGCTCGAGAGCTTGAACGCTGCGGGCCAGGGCGGGCCTCCTCGGGCGCCTTGGGTCGCAGGAGAGGTCAGAGGGGTCGTCGTCGTCGTCGTCCTCGTCGTCGTCGTCGTCGGTCCTGCTCGGAGCACGAGGACGTTGAGGATAGCGCCGACGTGGTTTCAACGAGTTCGGCCCCTAGGCTTATGTCGGGCGTGTCCCCTACAGGGGGATTTTTCGACGAAAAATGGAAAATACCCAAGAAGTACCCCAAAAAGGTCAAAAACAACATACAACAAATAGTCCCCAGACTATTTTTGCATTATTTTTTTGTTATTCGGGTCAGGGGACTGGGGCTCGCTGCCACCGCCGCCGCCGTCAACGCATCCGTCGGGGGCGGAAAAGAGGGGGGTGATGACTAGGGGGGGGTGGATCTGATAGCGGGGGCCACGATATTTCTCCAGATTTCATGGCGCCCCCTCTTATTTCATTACGTCCCTGGCCCCCCCCTGCTGGGCCGCGCACATGCCGCCGGTCATGATTTGCACCCCCCCCTCTTAGACACCCCCGTCTTGGCCGCTCCCGAATCCGCCGTCGAGGATCGAGGCTCGGGGTTTTGGACGCTGCTTTTGGGTGCCTTCCTTGGTCTCCCACGGAGAGCGCCCCCGTCGCCACGACTGGATTCCCTGTTGGCACCGTGCGCCAATCGCGCTCTCCAGGTGGCGTCTCGGGGAGCGTCGTCGCCGCCGCCGTGATTCGTCGAATGGGATCGATCGGCGGCGAGCGAGGGGGGGAAGTGAGAAGGAGAAGGCCATCTCAGAAGGCGGCTGGACTTCTCAGAAGCCCTCGCGCGTCTTCGGCAAGATCTGAGAAGACTTCTCAGGAGGCGGGGGGGCTTCCGAGCCTTCTGAAAAGGCCCGCCCCTTCTCACTTCCCCCCGGGCGCGCCGCCTAATCGAGGCTGGGGAGTTCTATGCACCTTTTTTGCGCCTCAATGGGTTCTGTGCTTCCCCGATCTCAGCCGCTGCTCTGATGGAAACGCGCTCTCGGACTCCTGAATGTCGGCCCTTCCCTCCCCCAGGCAGGAGCCATTCCCACTATTGAAATCGATCCGATTTCGAGGATAACTATGGATTTTGATTCCGAATTCCGACTTCGGTCGGCTTGCAATTCCGAGTGCAGGCCTCGATTCAGGCGGACTTCGGCGTCGACGCCGATTTTTCGGCCGGCTCGATGCAGTACGATGTCCGATACGATTTGTCGATCCGATATGGGGTCATTGCGGCAGGAGCCGCGTCGGCTGCTGCACGGGGACGTCCTACACTTCTCGGCCTTCGAGAGGGCCTCCTACCGCCTCGAGCTGAGCGGCGGCGTTGCAGGGAGCCCGGCGCCGCTCGTCGTTACCGTCGTTACCGTCGTCGTCGTCGTCGTCGTCGTCGTCGTCATCCTCGCTATCGTCGTCTTCTTAGTTGTGGCGTCCTCCTTGTGGTCGCCTCCGCCGTCGTCGTCGTCTTCGTCGTCGTCGTCGAGCCTCGATGTTGCGAGTTTGATGTGTAGGTTTTCAGTTTTTGTTGGCCTCGTGCTCGTCGCCGTCGTCATCGTCGAGTGGCCAGATTCAATGTTATTCTCAGCCTGTTTGGGCTTCAGTCTCATCGTGCAGCCACCGTCGCAGGCGTCGTGTCGTGGTCGGCGTCATCGGGATTGGACGTTTTTTGTCTGATTGCATTTTTATTGCCTCGGGCTCGTCGTCGCCGTCGGGTATCGAGGTTCCAGTTTCATCGGGCCTCGGGGCCGTCGTCGTCGTCGTCGTCGAGTATCGAGGTGGCGTCTTGATCCTTTAAACTCGGGCTCGTCGCTGTCCTCGAGTACCGAGGGACGAAGTAGGTCTGACCCCGATACTCGACGACGACGCAGAGTGTGCGCCACTTGTACATGCTTTGTGTGCCTCGGGCGCGTCGTTGTCCGAGAGAAGTAGTATTGTTCGACCAGTTTCCTGTCTGACGCGTGATTGAGTCCTTTTCAGGCCTCGGGTCTGTCGTTGTCCATGGGTGTCCATGTTCGCTTGTGTGTGGGTATGCATGCACGTGTGTGCATATACATGTCTATGCGTGGATACACTTATATATATATATATATATATATATATATATATATATATACATATGTATGTGTGTGTATATGTCTGCATGTATATTTATATGAATGCATGCGTGCATGCATGCATGCATGCATGTACGTACGTACATATGTATGTATGCATGCATGCATGCATGCACGTACGTATGTATGTATGCATGCATGCATGCATGAATGTATGCATGTACGTATGTATGCATGTATGTATGTATGTCTGTATGTATGTCTGTATGCATGTATGTTTGTATGCATGTGTGTATATGTGTATGTGTGTATGTGTGTATGTGTTTGTGAATGTGTGTCAGTGCTCATGCATGTTTATGCACACACATGTACATATCGACCTCGTTCTCGTCGTCGTCGTCGTTGTCGTCGTCGAGTACTGGGGTTCGATCGTTTCGTTGAAGTTCACCATTTCGGGCGTTGGGGTGCGTCCCCGATCTCGGCCACTGCTCTGATGGCAACGCGCCGTGGACGCCCGTGTCCTCACATGCTCCGGCGGAGCAGAGGCCGAGGCTTCCGCGCGCTCGTGCGCAGGGGAGCCCCCTCGTCGCCACGTCCCGGGACTTCCTCGAACATGTGGTGTTCCGATGGCGCTCCTGCAGGACGGCGTCGCCGTCCGCCTCCCGACGACGCCGACGTCGGCGTCAAGTTAATGATTTGTCTCGGCGCGTCGTCGGCGACGCTGCGAGGCGTCGGCGACGGCGTCGTCGACGACGACGGCGCCGACGTCGGCATCTCGCAGGTTCTCGTCGGCGCGGCCGGCTGCGGCGCGAAGAGCTCGCCGGGACGGGCTCCAGCAGGGGTCCAGGAGCTGGCTGAGCGGGTTCTCCGCGTCTTCGTTCATCCCCATCGTTTTTTTTCTCCACCTCCTCATCTCAGGAGGGGAAAAAACACACAGACAAAATGAATCGTCGATTCCCAAGAGAATATTGGAAAGTACGGGGATTGGGGGGGAAGACGAAAACCCAGAAAATATTGTTAAATATGGGGAAACCTTTTATTTGTGTGTATTTACTTGCGTGTCCCAGGGCCCCTTCATCCTCCTCTTCCTCCTCCTTCTCATCCTCCACGCAAGCCGCGTGCTCGCGATCCTCGTCGCCCCGCTCAGCCCCATGTTCTGGGAGGCTGCTGAATGGCCACCACCCCCTCGAGCAGACCCTGTGACCAGCCTGTTTGCGGGGGTGTCGTGTGTATGCACACACAACCCAGCGGTGTACAAACACATGTGCCTCCATGTTCTCCAGAAGCAGTCTCCGTCTTCCCCCGCCCCGGTTCTCCTCCTCGAGCCGACGGTACCTCAAACCCTGCCCTACCCGATGCCATCTTGGAGCACATTCATAGGGGACCAAAAAATGACATAAACATAAAAACTCAGAGGTCCGCGCGGATTTCTCAGATCGGCGCTGGACCCCCCTCCCTGGCGCGCGGAGCGCGCCAGGGGCGGCGCCGGAGGCGGCGCCGGGGGGCCCCAGCGCCGATCCAAGAAATCCGCGCGGACCTCCGAGTTTTCATGCTTATGTAATTTTTCTTGTTCCCCTAATTCATCCGCGAGCCCCCTGCTGCTTCACGAATTCGAGTGAAGCGCGAAGTGCCCAGAGGCCACAGTGACCAGCCAGTCACGACAGCACTGGCCCTCGGAGCGCTTTCCCGTGCTCTGGAGGGCGTGCTGCAGTGCCTGCGCCAGCTCAGCCACGGGGCGGGCGCCGGGCGAGGAGAGGACGGAGGAGGAGGAGGAGGAGGGAGGGAGGAGGGAGGGAGGAGGAGGAGGAGGAGGAGGAAGATGATAAGGATGGAGGAGGAGGAGGAGGAGGAGGAGGAGGAGGAGGAGGATAAGGAGTGAGGAGGAGGCGAGGAGGACGAGGAGGAAGGGTATGTTTTGTCAATCTGTTAGTTTTCGTCCAAGATCCCCCTGTAGGGGACAGGCCCGACTTCACCGCAGGATCTGTGCGGTGCTCGAAGCCACCGCGCAGGTCGTCACGACTGAAGGGGCCCCGGGACACACAAGTAAATACACAAATAAAACGATTCTCCATATTTTCCTATATTTTCTGGGTTTTTGTCTTCCCCCCCACTTCCCATGTTTTCGTCGACGATTAATGGTGTCTGTGTGTTTTTTCCCTCCCGAACGACACGAGCGCGCGTGCCGCAGCGGCGCCGGTCGTCGACGGCGCGCGCGCGGCGCGCTCGAATCGCACGGCCGGCGCGCGCGCCCCCCACGCGTCCCGCGTGCGCCAGGAGCGTGCGACCCTCCTCGCCGGCAGCGGGCGACGAGTTGGCCGAGGGAGGCATCCTCGGGGCCAGGGCGCGCGCCCGAGGGGTGGTCTCCCTTTGCATTATGTCTGGCGTGTCCCCCATACAGGGGGATTTTCGACGAAAAAAAAATACCTCAAAAATGCCCCAAAAAGGTAAACAAATATTAAAAAATAGTCCCCAGACTATTTTGGGGGATCTTTTAGATTTTTCGTCGAAGATCCCCCTGTAGGGGACAGGCCCGACTTAACCTTTGCATCCAGTCACAATATGCCGTTTGGGGATCGCGCCTCCTTCTGCCCCTCACTCTCACATGGGTCGTTTGGGGATCGCTCCGCCTCCTCCCCCCCAACCTTCCTCCTTCATCCTCCCCAGTCTTCCCTCCATCCTATTATTTCTTCCTCCTCCTCCTCCTCCATCCTAATCTCCTCCTCCCCTGGGGGACAGAAGGCTGCCAGACGTCTTTTGGAGGTCACTGGTGGGCTTGCTGTGCAGCTCTTGAGAGTAGCAATGAAGGGGCGTCCAGATGCCTTATGCATTTACCAGGCCCTGGGTACGGGGTACTTGCTCCTAGTGTCAGACATCCTGCTCCTCATTTTCCCGCCTCCTCCCTCCTTTTTCCACTCAGACTCACTCATGCTCAGAAATCGGCACCCAAGCCCACTCACACTCAGACCCGCTCGTGTTTGCTCATACTCAGGACACTCGAGCGGATATTCTCACATCCTCAGCTTAGCCATCGTCAGAGTCATACACACACATGAACCTCTTCCATTCACTCATACCATTCACACCAATATTCAGCCATCATGGTTCCCCACATCCTAAGTGAGGGGGTAGTGTTCCTCATATCCTCAGTATCGTTGGTCTGGCCCCCGCTTTCGTATGATGTCATGATTGGTCAGTGTGATCTCTCTGCCTCCGCTCTTCTCATCTAATGCCCTGCGTCCTGCGTACCTCACTCCCAGTGCACAGACTCCCTCACACTCAGACGCCTCACGCTCAGACTCACTCTTGCTCAGACCCACCCACTCGGACTCGCCCACACACAAACGCACACTCACACATATTCACTTAAGTTCCGAACCATTCACACTCAGACCCACTCACACTCAGACCCACTCACACTCAGACTCACCCATCCTTGTGGTTCCCGAATCGTGCGAGGGTATGCCCAAATGAGTGGCGGGGGCGCCTGCGGACGGTACCATCCTGACCTTCGGTGGAACTCCTTCTGGGGCCACGAAGTGTGTGAGGGGTGCGCCAAGACGAGTGGCGCCGACGAATGTGGACGGTGCCATTTGGGCCTTCGGTGGAGTTCCCTATGGGGCCACGAACCGTGTGAGGGTTGTGCCGAAACGGGTGGCGCGGACGCATGTGGACGGTCCCATCCGGGCCTTCGGTGGAGCTCCTTTTGGAGCCACGAAACGTTTGAGGGGTGTGCTGAACTGGTAGGTGCGGACGCGTGTGGACGGTGCCGCTGAAACCCGCGATGCAGCTGCCCATGAGGCCACGCAGCGCGTGAGAGGTGTGCCGAAATGGGATGCGCGGACGCATGTGGACGGCGCCATTGGGGCATTGGAGGGCTCCTTATGGGGTCACTGAGCCTTGTGAGTGGGTTGCCGACGCCGAAATGGTCGGCGCGAACGCATGTGGACGGTGCCGTTGGGGCCTTGGGTGGAGTTCACTATAGGGCCAAGCACCGTGTGAGGGGTGTGCCGAAAGGGGATGCGCGGACGCATGTGGACGGTGCCATTCGTGTTTTCGGTGGAGCTTTCTTTGGGGTCGCGAAAGGTGTGAGGGGTGCGCCGTTCAGGCGAGTTGAAACAATCAGGGAAGTGTAGAAGCAAAGAGGGGGACAGCCGTTGTAGTTCGAGGGAGGAGGCGAAGGAGGAGGAGGAGGAGGAGGAAGTGAAGGAGCAGTAGGAGGAGGAGTAGGAGGAGGAGGAGGAGGAGGAGGAGGAGGAGGAGGAGGAGGAGGACAGGCTGGCTGGGTGGCCCATTGGGCGCCGTTCGCATCCTCGGGTACGGATGCTCTTGATGGGCCCGACCGGGCAGGAGGACACTTCCCGCGACGGATCCCCCACACCGACCACTGAGCCGCCAGGCGGGCAAGTCCATGGCCACCTCTGGTGCCTGGAACGCCCGCGAGGGAGGGGGCAGCGGCCGTCAGGGGCTGGACGGGCCGGCAGAGGCTCCGCAGCTCAGCTGCCAGGGGCTCCGCCCTCGCAGCCAGAACAGCGCGCGCGACGCGCCCTTTGCAGACAGGCCGACGGGGGGGTTGCAGCGAAGACCCTCCCTGGGAAGCCGAAGGAGCTCCCGGCCCAGCTCCCAGCCCCAGGGGAACGAAAAGTGGCATAAGCACGACAACTCGGAGGTCCGCGCGGACTTCTCGCATCGGCGCTGGGGCCCCCCAGCGACGCCTTCGTCGCCGCCCCCGTCGCGCTCCGCGCGCCACGGGGGGGGCGTCCAGCGCCGATCCGAGACATGCGCGCGGACCTCCGAGTTTTTATGCTCATGCCACGTTTTGTTCCCCTAGGCCCAGCCCTGGCCGACGTCGCCCCCCGCTGCCGCGGCGCCCCTGCTGGAGAGAGCGGCCCCGCGGAGGGGACGAGCGCGCCGCCGGAGGAGGAGGGGAGGGGAAGGGAGGGAGGGAGGGAGAACATTGTCGCGGCCGTCGTCCAGGACACCCCCATCCCCGCCCCATCGGGTGGCGAGCACAAATGGGGGGGAGGAGGAGGAGGAGGAGGAGGAGGAGGAGGAGGAGGAGGAGGCCCTAGCCCACCGCACCCCGAGCCGACACGCGCAAGAGTAGCGCAGCCGAAAGGGAGGGAGGGAGGGAGGGAGAGAGAGAGGGAGAGAGAAAGAGAGAGAGAGAGAGAGAAAGAGAGAGAGAGAGAGAGAGAAACTTCGGCTTAGCATCGGCATGAGGAATCAGCAGCGGTTCGGAGGCCTCTGCCTCAGAGGGAGGAGCAGGAAAAGAGGAGGAGGAGGAGGAGGAGAAGGAGGAGGAGGAGGAGGAGGAGGTGGTGCAGGATGTGCAGGAGTAGGAGGAGCGGATGATTCATTGGAAGGCTTTTAGGCCGTTTGTGGGGCATCTTGTCGGGCCCGGGGCAGTCTTTTAGCGTTTTGGGTGCCTCGGGGATCCTCTCGACTTCTCTTGGGGGCCTCTTGTGGACGTCTGGGCGCCTCTTGGAGCCTTTTTTGGGCTCACTTGGGAGCTGTAGGGTCGCTCTTGGAGCCATCTTGGAAGACATCGATCAAACAAGAGAGGAGCTCCAATTAGGACCCCCCTTAGGAACCCAGGCAAACGCCTCCAGTGGCGCTCTGGGGGCGTTCTTGGAGCGCTCTTGTGCGCTCTTGGGGCTGTCGTGGTGCTCACTTGGGCTTCTTTTGCGACACTCTTGGGCCATCTTGTGGCCTCGGATGGCCATCGGAAGCGAAAAGGCGATACATCAAGCGACATTGACTTTCCTTCGGTTTTGGGCGGGTTTTGGCCTCTTCGGGGCCGCCTTGGGGAGCTCTCTGGCCACTTGGAACCGTCTTGGGCCGATCGGGCGCTATTCCGAGCCATCCTGGAGGCCGTTTCGAGCTCTCTGAGGCGCTGTTGGAGCCGTCTTGGGCCATCTTGGACGCTCCAGCCCTTCGCGGCCACCCCGTCCAGGTCCAGGGGGGTAAGAGGGAAGTGTAAACCCCTCCCATGAGGGGAAGAAGAGGGTTGGAAGAGGAGCCTCCCTAGACCGCCTAAGCCCAGAAGGCTGTTGGCATTTGCGCGGAGGGCGCATGCGAGCATTGCCACTGCGGCCTTCGGTGGAGCTGCCTATGGGGCCACGAATTGTTTTGAGGGGTGTGACGGTGTGCAGTGCTTTTCGCGGGGGGCGCAGACGAGAGACGCCACTGGGGCCTTGGGTGTAGCTCCCCATGGCGCCACGGAGCGGAAGGGGTGTGTCAGAATGGGTGGTGGGGGCGCACGCAGACGGTGCCATTGGGGCCTTTTGTATTGTCGGAGGTGAGGGGGTGAGATCGAAGTGGAACGGAGAGCCTCCCTACCGGGAAATCGATTTCGGTTTCGTGTTCGTGCGTGCCGTGCGGGCGAGGCGAAGCTGCGTGGGCGGGCGAGAGGAAAGTCTCCTGTGGCTGAGGCGCGGCCGGACCAAATGATTCTCCCTGGGCGGCCGGTGGCGCGCGGTGTCCCGCCGGTGTCCCGCCGGTGTCCCGTCGCTGTCCCGTCGGTGTCCCGATGATGATGTTGATGATGATTATGATGATGATTATGATGATGATGGTAATGATGATGATGAGATGATGTTGATGATGGCGATGATGATGATGTTGATGTTGATGATGATGATGATGATATTGATGATGGCGATGATGATGATGGTGATGATGATGTTGATGTTGATGATGATGATGATGACGATGATGACGTCGATTGTGAGATCGATTGTGAGATCGAATGTGAGATCGATTGTGAGATCGATTGTGAGATCGATAGTGAGATCGATAGCGAGATCGATAGTGATATCGATAGTGAGATCGAATGGGAGATCGATTGTGAGATCGATATGTTGATGACGGCGATGATGATGATGATATGATGATGATGATGATGATGATGATGATGATGATGATGATGATGATGATGATGATGTTGATGCTGATGTTGATGTTGATGATGATGATGATGATGATGATGATGATGATGATGATGATGATGATGATGATGATGACGTCGATTGTGAGATCGATTGTGAGATCGATAGTGAGATCGACAGTGAGACCGAATGTGAGACCGAATGTGAGATCGACAGTGAGACCGAATGTGAGACCGATAGTGAGATCGATAGCGAGATCGATAGTGATATCGATAGTGAGATTGAATGTGAGATCGATTGTGAGGTCGATAGCGAGATCGATTGAGTGAGACGTTGGTTCCCCCTCCCCCCTCACCTCCTTATCACCCGCAGGGTGGTCGTATAGGTACAGCTCATGGGGCCACGGAACGTGGAAGAGATGTGCCGACATGGGTGGCGGAGAAGCATGCGGACGGTGCCATTGAGCCTTTCAGTGGAGCTCTTGATGAGGCCACGGAACGTGGAAGAGATGTGCCGACATGGGTGGCGGAGAAGCATGCGGACGGTGCCATTGAGACCTTCAGTGGAGCTCTTGATGAGGCCACGAAGCGTGTGAGGGTTGTGCCGAAAGGAGTGACGGGACGCATGCGGACGGTACCATTGGGACCTTCGGAGGAGCTCTTTATGGGGCCACGAAACTTGTGAGGGGTGCGCCGAAACGAGTGGCGACGACGCATGTGGACGGTGCAATTTGGGCCTTCGGTGGAGCTCCATGATGGTGCCATGAAAACTGTGAGGGTTATGCCGAAATTGGTCGCGGGGAAGACTGCGGACGATGCCACTGGTACCTTCGGTGGCTGTGGGGCCACGGAGAACGCGTGAGAGATGTGCCGAAAGAGGTGGCGGGAGTGCGTGCGGACGGTGCCACTGGGACCTCAGGCGAAGCCCCCCATTGGACCACAGAACGTGTGAGGGGTGTGCCGAAATTGGGGGCGGGACGCATAGGGACGGTGCCACTGCGGCCTTCGCTGGAGCTCCCGATGGGGCGAGAAGCATGCGGACGGTGCCATTGGGACTTTCAGTGGAGCTCCTGATGGGGCCACGAAGCGTGTGAGTGCCGAAATGAATGGCGGGGACGCACGCAGTCGGTGCTGACCTTGGGTGGAGCTCCTTTTTTTCATTGGTCCGAAAGGTACCCGTACCCGGGGCCAGCCAAGGTGAGATGGGCCGTCTGGGGGACTGGGCGCTTGCCACTGTGCCTGGTTAGCTTGCCCCCCGCGCGCCAGTGCAGCATCCGCGCGTCAAGACGCAACGGCGCGCTCGATGGTTGGGTGTCTGATTGCAGCGACAAGCGCTGGTTTTTGTTAGGGACGTCTCGGGGCATCGTGGTGCGTGCGCGGCTCAAAGCCGCCCATATGTGGTGGCGCCTGTCCCAATCGAGCTATCCTGGCAACCAGTGCGTCTGGGCCTGCCCTGAGGAACGACGTTGCAATGTCGCGCCCCCAGGGGGCCGCAGCGGCCACGTCGCGGACGGCTCTGGAGGGCATGGTATGTGCTCGAAAGCGTTTTGGGCCTGCCGCCACCTCGGCTAGGTACGGGGACTTGCCTGAAACCAACGAAACATACTCGGACCTAGCTTGGGTGGAGCTGTGGCGCCCCGGCTAGGTACGGGTCTGTTTTTTGGTTTTCATGGGGCAACCGTACCTAGCTGGGGTGATCCGCAGACGGCCGTCCAAGGGGGGCGGCCTCTGGCGACCTCGCCCAGGGCACAGATTCGCGATGTCTCTGCACCGAGCAAGTCGCGATAGGGCGGTTTTCGCGCAATGACGTTCGCGCCAGAGTTGTTCGCATGCGCCCCCGAGTGCGCGTTGACTCCTCAACGCCCGGATATGTGTCTGGGGGCGCGCCTCCGCAGTAGCTGGTCTACATCGGCAACAGCCAACGCAGGGTCGGGCATTCCGCCGATTCGAACGCACGTGCGATCGGTGCTAACGTGCGCCCCGAGAAAACAGCGGTCTGTAATGCTCGATCGGCTGTCGTTTCTACACTTGTGCAGCCGCCGTCAGTTGCGACGAACCGCCCCCCTGGCCCCTTTGCCACCCTGTCTAGGTAAGGGTGCGGGTATCTTTCGCGCTCGGGATTTTTTGAAGCCGCGAAACGTGTGAGGGGTATGCCGAAACGATTGGTGGGGACGCGTTCGGACGGTGCCATTGTGAGCTTCCGTGGAACCCTTTCTTGGGCCACGAACCGTGTGAGGGGTGTGCCGAAATACAAACATGCGAAGGGCATCGGCAGGGATTGGAGGAGGGAGGAGGGGGAGGAAAAGGAGGAATGACGCGGGGCGCTGCTTCAAAACGAGGACCTAGCAAAACAGGATTGTCAGGAGCACAAAATGTAGCTCCTGGGGCGGAGGGAAAAAGGGAGGGTGACAACCAAATGTCCCCGCGCTTCGTCACCCGCGGCGTGCGGGAGTTTGCGGATTCCGGTCTCGTTGTGGATGTGCGGCCGTTTGCGCATGCTGCCAGACAGTCGAGCTATCCATCGTCCATCTAGGCTCGAGAAACACCGTGCTCGAGCAGTCCATCAAATGGTGGCTCTCTGATACCCAACTCCCACCTTCACCAGCCTCGAACTGATCCCTATCCCTGTGAGATTGACACGCCGAAAGGCGATGACAATCTTAGGGATGCACCCTCAGAAATTAAGGGAATCCCTAATATCGCCATCGTGACGAGGCGATGCCCAACATAGGGACAGGGAAATGTTCTGGGCTGGTAACGCCTCCCCTTCTCGGGGAGCCAATGGAGACGTGGCGCGGCAGGCTGCTCGTGGCCCGGAGCTCAGTCCCGCCCCGATTCTGGAAGGAATGAGGAGGAGGAGGAGGAGGAGGAGGAGGAGGAGGAGGAGGAGGAGGAGGAGGAGGAGGAGGAGAAGTGGGAGAGAAGGAGGAGGAGGAGGAGGAGGAGGAGAGGAGGAGGGAGGAAGGAGGAGGAGGAAGGAGGAGGAGGAGGAGGACAGGAAGGAGGACAGGAAGGAGGAGAGGAGAGAAAGGAGGAGGAGGAGCATCCTCCCAGATGAGGTCGGAGTAGGTGGGATCGGAGGATCGCGCCGCATCGCCGATGCATCGCCGATGCGGCGCGATGTGGATCCCGATTTGCGTCACGCCGACGTCGCCGATGCACCGCTGACGTCGACGATGCATCGCTGGTGCATCGCCGAATGCATCGCTGATGCATCACCACTGCATCGCCGATGCATCGGCGATGCGGCGCGAGAGGAGGCCTCTGTGCGGATGGAGGTGGAGGAGAGAGGGGAAGGAGGGGAGGAACCATGAGGAACGACGCCCCTTGTGCAAAGGTGCAGCGCCAGGATCTCGGGGCCTGTGGAGCCGCCGAAGTGCCGCAGCTGCCGCCCAGGGCTGCCGCCGCCCGAGCGGCCGGCCAGGCTGCCGCCAGGCTGCTGCCCCTCGAGCGGCCGGCCGCGGGGGCCCCCGCGGCCGACCGCCGCCGCCGTCCGAAGCCGCAAGAGGGTCCCAAGAGGGAGGAGGAGCAGGAACAGGAGGAGGAGGAGGGGGAGGGTAGGAGGAGGAGGAGGAGGAGGAGGAGGAGGAGGAGGAGGAGGAGGAGGAGGAGGAGGAGAGGAGGAGGTGGAGGTGGAGGAGGAGGAGGAGGAGGAGGAGGAGGAGGGAGGAGGGAGGAGGTGGAGGAGGAGGAGGAGGAGGAGGAGAGGAGGAGGAGGAGGAGGAGGAGGAGGAGGAGGAGGAGGAGGAGGAGGAGGAGGAGGAGCCGCGCCCCGTGGCGTCGCCGCCGCCGCAGCTGCCGCCAAGGGCTGCCGCGGCCCGAGCGGCCGGTCCGCTCGGGACTTCCGAGGCCCTGGCCGCCACCCTCGCGGCCCTCGCAGCCGGCGAGGCAGCGCCCGCGGCCCCCGCCGCAGAGGCCGCCGCGGAGGCCGCCACGGAGGGCGCGGTGCAGCCGCGACCAGGCGCCGGCGCCTCGTCGGCGTCTCCCTCTTGCCGGGTGTTGCTAGAAGGTGTCCCCAGGATTTCCAAGGAGGGCCGCACGGCCTCCAGACCACCCCTCACGAGGGCTTCAGGGCCCCAGTGGTTCAACATGGAGCGAAAGGCTGTGAAAACCCTGGGCCAAGGGCACCTCTAGCAGCCCCCACGCCTTCTTCAGGGGCAGCGTCAAGCGTTGGCGCGGCGTTCTGGTTTGTCCATAGGCCCACCAAGTAATGCTCAGAGAACCTGTTGTGGTCTGCAAGAGCTGTTCTGAGAGCATTTCTGGCCAGGGCTGTTTTGTTTTAACACCTCGGGTTTCTGTTCTAAGAACATGATGTTGGGTTGTTCGAACATTTCTGTCGCGTTCTAAGAGGATTTCGTGGTAGGCCTATTATAGGAAGACCCAGACGGCCGGTCCCTGCGTAGTCAGGGGCAACGGCAGCCAGTCGGCGGCGAACGACGGAAAGGGGGGGGGTGAGATGGGGCCCTCTCAGAGCGCGGCGGGGCTTCTCAGAAAGCCAGGTGGCTCCCGAGCCGGATGCCTTCTCCTTCTCACTTCCCCCCTCGCTCGCCGCCGAGATTGCATGGGGGATGGTCAGGAGGGAGAGAAACACACAGACACAATTAATCGTCGATTCCAAGGAAAATATGGGAAACTATGGGAAGTGGTGGGGAAGACAGAAACCCAGAAAATATTGGGAATCCTTTTATTTGTGTGTATTTATGTGTGTGTCCTGGGGCCCCTTCATTCTCCTTCTCACTTCCCCCCTCGCTCGCCGCCGAGATTGCACGGGGGATGGGCTCCGGGAGGGACGCCTCGTCCCCCAATCGCCCACTCATCTGCGATATGGGGCCCGATAGCCCACCCCTCGCCCGGGACCATGCGGATGTGCTATCCGGGGTCCATCGCCGATCCATCGGCGACGCATCGTTAAGTAAGTCGCCCCTGTCCCTCTACAGGAGGAATGTTCAAAAACGGTCAAACAATAGTCTGGGGACCCTATGTTTTCGGCATTTGTGTGCCATTTGGGGGTATTTGTTTTCAAAGCTATGTTTCAACTGCTGTCCAACATCCCCCCGTAGGGGGACACGGCCGACCTCAACGCATCGTCGATTGCAGGTCGACGTTTCCCCCCCCCCCGAGCCGGTTTCCCCCTATCGTGTTGCCCCTCGCCCCTCGGCCGCGCCGATGGCCGCCGACGGCCGCCTGAAGTCGGGAGGGGAAAAGACACGCAGGCACAGTTTTGATCGCCGATCCCCCGGAAAAAAATTGGGTTTACGGGAAGGGGGGGAAGCTAACAACCCAGAGCATATTGGAGAACATGGGAATCTTGTTCTTTGTATATATATATATATATTTCTTTGAGTGTCTCAGGGCCTCCTCATAATCATCGATCCCCAGGAAAGTATGTGAAATACGGGAAGTGGGGGGAAGACAACGACACAGAAAATATAGGAAAAAAACGGGGAGTCTTGTTATTTGTGTCTATTTCTTTGTGTGTCCCAGGGCCCCTTCAAGCTCGGCGTCCGCCCCTGGAGGCTGGCCGAGGCGCCGGAAGGGCCTCTGGAGGCCTCAGGGGCCCCAGGAGGACCTCGGCGGCGCTCGGCCCTGACCTCCCAGGAGGGCCACGAGACAGCACCAGGACCACGACATCTAGATTTCTGTCGTGGTTTTGGGTGGCCCAGGTAGGTCTACTTGGCATCGCTCGGACGTGTGTGTGTGTGTGTGTTGTGTGTTGTGTGTTGTGTGTTGTGTGTTGTGTGTTGTGTGTTGTGTGTGTTGTGTGTGTTGTGTGTGTGTGTTGTGTGTGTGTGTGTGTGTGTGTGTGTGTGTGTGTGTGTGTGTGTGTGTGTGTGTGTGTGTGTGTGTGTGTGTGTGTGTTTTCCTCGGCGAGGACCATCGAGGAGCACCCTGAAGCGTCGAGCAGCAGCAGACACGCGCGCGACGCCGAAACAGGCACGGGGAACGGACGCCCGAGCGATGGCGAGTCTACAGGTCTTGAGGGCTCGCTCCTGGCGCTCTGGCAGAGCAAGGGGGGGTGCACTCTGTGGGCCCCGGAAACGGCAGGGCCGTTTCTTCATCGTTTCCAGAAACATGTCCCTGGAAAATGGAAACGGCAAAACAACGGCGACCGGAAACGGCAAAGAAACGGCTCCAGGATTGGAACCGGAGCCGGAACCGGTCAAGAAACGGCGACGGAACCGGTGAAGAAACGGCGTCGAAAAAAACGGCCCTGTCGTTCCCAGGGCCCACTCAGGGGTTGCAGCGGCCCTTCGCCCGAGTGCCCCTCTTCGGGGTGCGGGCCCGCGGGGGCCTCCCAAAAAGTCGCCGCGTGCGCTTTCGCGGGAGCGGCGGCCTCTCCGTGCCCTGGGGCTGGCCTCCCCGCGGCCCTTTGGTGGGGCCGAGCGCCCGCGGCCTCCTCGCCGCCGCCCCGCCGCCCGCCCCGCTCGCCAGCTCGGAGGCCCGTGGACTTGTTCGGACTCTTGGTGACTCGGGAGCGGACAAGAGGGGGGTGATGACTAGGGGGGGGTGAATTTCATGGCGCGGGCCATGATTTTTCCTGAGATTTCATGGCGCCTCTTCTTATTTCATTACGTCCCAGGCCCCCTCGCTGGGCCGCGCACATGCCGCCGGTCATGATTTGCACCCCCCCTCTTGGACACCCCCCTCGTTGGCCGCTCCCGAGTGACGTCGCGGGCTGATCCGAGTCGGGATTTTCTACATGACCACCGCCTGGAGGATCCATGTTCGGAGCCTCGGCAGGCGGTGGATGTGGACATCTTCGGGCCCCTGGGGGCCGAAGTATATCCATATCCACCTCCCGCTGGGGCACCAGGACGTGGGTTCCCAGGCGGTGGACACGGATAAATCCCCGCCTCGCAGCCGAGGTCTCAGACTCGGATATCGACGATCGAAGATCGGGGGCTTCCGTGAGCCGGCCTGGGGCCGTCTTGGGCGCCACGTGGTGCCGTCTTCGGGTCGTCTTGGGGCCCGTGCTCGGGCCACGGAGGGCTCTCGGGCCGTTTTGGGCAGACGGAGGCCCGAAAAGGGGCGACCGCGGAAACCTCTCGAGCAAAGCAGGCAAAGCAGGAGCACACCTCGGGTTGCGCTGCGTCTTCGGGGGACCTCGCCTGTCCCTCAAGTTGGTGTCTCTTCTTGTGCCCGACGCGGGCTCGATGCGGACTCGTTGCGGACTTTGCGTGGATCCGGCGCGGACTCGACGCGGATGGGGCGGCGACGGAACAGACAATCCCCCGAGGATGCAACACACCTCGGGTCGTCGTGGGGCGATCTCGGGCTGTCTGATAGGCACCTCGTGCCATCTTGACGGCCAGAGTGGCCTGCCTCAGTCGTCTCGGAGGCCATCTTGGGGCATCTCGGACGCCCAAAACAAACTTCAAGGCATGTGTCGGGGCGCCGACGGACCCTCGGAAGGGAAGGGCGATATTCGTAGCACGTTTCGGCGGCGAGCGAGGGGGGGGGGAGGCGAGAAGGAGAAGACCTTCTCAGATGGCAGCGGGGCTTCTGAGGAGCGCTGCGGCCTTCTCTTAAGTCGGGCCTGTCCCCCTACAGGGGGATGTTCGACAAAAAATAAAAAATACAACAAAAACAGCCAACAAATAATCAAAAAATAGTCTGGGGACTATTTTTGGAGTATTTTTTACCTTTTGGGGGCATTTCTGGGGTATCTTTATTGTTTCGTCGAAATCCCCCTGTAGGGGGACACGGCCGACATAAGCCTTCTCTGAGAAGGCCTCTGTGTCTGCGAGGAAGGCTCCGAACACCTCTCGGAGGGCCGGGGGACCCCCGGGCCTTCTGAGGAGGCCCGCCCCCTCTCGCCCTCCACTTCCAGGGCTCGCCGCCGAGAGGGGGGCAGCGTATACGCGCAGCACCCTGCGACCGGGAGGGCACGGGAGGGCTCTCGCCGGGCGCAGGCCTGGGCGTTCTGCTCGGGGGCGGAAAAGAGGGGGGTGATGACTAGGGGGGGGTGGATATCATGGCGTGGGCCATGATATTTCCCCAGATCTCATGGCGCCGCTTCTTACTTCATTACGTTCCCTGCCCCCCCCGCTGGGCCGCGCACATGCCGCCGGTCATGATTTGCACCCCCCCTCTTGGACACCCCCCTCTTGGCCGCTCCCGAGTTCTGCCAGGCCTCCGCCCGCTGGCGGGCCCGGCGACCCATCGAGAGAGCTCCGATCTGCGGGCTCCGCTCCCCTGCGAAAGGCGCCCCCGGAGCGCCCTCGGCGGGGCGCAGCTGCCGAGAAAAGCACCCCCTCGAGGAGGCCCCGGCCCTCTGGGACGTCCTCTTTTGCCGGCGAGCTCGGGGGGGAAGCGAGGCTGGGCGGGCCTCCTCCGAAGGTTCGGAGGTCCCCCGGCCTTTCGATGACGAGGGAACAACACACGCACCCATACCCATAGGGGGGTCGTTGGGAGGAGGACTGGCTATGGGTATGGGTGCGGGTTGTCGGACCCTGGGGAACGCTCCCGTTCGAGCGGGGACCCCCATCCGACAACACGCACCCATAGCCCTCTCCGACCCCCCTAAGGATATGGGTGTGTGTTGTTGGTTCGTCCTTTTGAGACATTTTTGGTTAGCCTTCCCCGCCGTCGCAGAATTCCCTTGGCAGAAGGCCGGGGAAAGGTTCAGAAGCCTCGCCGCGCTGCGCGCCCCCCCGGCGGCGCCTCCGGCGCGCCGCCCCTGGCGCGCGGAGCGCGCCGGGGGTGGCGCGCTCCGCGCTCTGAGCAGGAGACCGTCCTCGCTGTCGTCCCTTGGCGCCAACTGGCGTGACCGGGCGGGTGGGGAAGGGGTAGGGGGCCACATGCGAACCCTACCCCACCCTCCCCCTCAGAAATCGTGGGAGGTAGGGGTAGGGTTCGCATGAGGCCCCCTAAGGGGAGAAATGGGGCCTGCCACGTCACGATGCGGGCCGCCGCCCTCTGGGAAGGCCTGGGGATGGCCAGCTTCCGTACGGCGGCGGCGCGGCTCTCGGCGCGACCAGGGGATGGGGGGCGGCGGGGCCAGCCACGGGCGGCGCCGCGAATATTCATATATGTTTATATATATATATACATGTATCAATATTTCCAACAAAAAAAGCTGGTGCAGTACCCCTCTCACTCCCCCGCTCCGCGCGCCAACGACCAGGGCTGGACCCAAACGGTGTTTTTGCGATTTCGTGGGCCGTGTTCGTTTCGACTTCGTCCTGCGGTGAAGGCGGATTGAAGACAGGGCGAAGGAAAACGAAAACAGAACGAAAACGAAACACACCGAGCTGGTTCAGCCCTGCCACCGACATGCAGGCGGGGATGCAGGGAGCCGGCGGTCGCCCCCTGCTCTGGCCTTTGGGGAGGGCGCCCGCAGGCAGCGTCGGCCCGGCAGGCGCAGGCGCCCCCTGACGGGGCCAGGGGCAGCCCCACGGTGCGGACGAGGGCAAAGGTTAAGTCGGGCTCGTCCCTCGAAAGGAGAAGCATGCAAACATAGTTGAGAGTTCTAGAAAAGTAGTCAGGGGGCGACCTGTTGAGTATATGTTGGGCTACGTGTGCACATGTCTGGAATGCGTGTCATTTCCCCTGCAAAATCCGCCTGTAGGGGGGCATGCCCGACCTGAGGCAAAGACGCCGGTGCCCTCCGGAGCGTCGGAGTCGGAGGAAGCGGGGCGGAAGCGGCCAGGGCCGCCATGTCCACTGCACACGACGAACCTTCGCTTCGCGGCCGACTCGCCATCTGGACGGAGTGAGGGGGGAGGTGGAGGGGTGGAGGTGGATGAGGGGCGGAGGAGGGGGAGGAGGTCGGGGAGAGGGACGAGGAATTCGACGAACGACCGTCCAGAGAGACGGACCGAGCGCAGCAGGGGGGGGGCGGGGGGGAACTGCAGGGGGGGGGGGCAAGAGGCCATTCTACTGGCCTGCTCCTTCTTTGCACTCCTTGTGCTGATGCTCTTGCTCATCTTGTTACTGCGCTTCCTCCTTCGTTCCTGCTACTGCTCCGCCATCCGCCTCTCCCGCCTCATGTGAGTCCGTCACTTCTTCTTCTTCTTCTTCTTCTTCCACGTACTTCTTTCGTCGCCGACGACACTTTGTGCGTCGGTCACGAAGCAGCTGTGTGGAGCCACTGCAGCCTGGTCGGCTGCAGTGGCTCCACACAGCTGCTTCGCCTGTTGACGGCGCCTGAATCATCACCAGCACGGATTCGGGTGTCCCCGTCTTCCGACCAGATCATGCCGAGTTGCATGCGCACTTTGCGGATGTGTCGGGATGTTTCTTCCGTAGTTGGCCCACCATTCATTCCATTGGAGGCGAGATCTACGGAACCCTTGTTTGGCGAGACCCACCACCCACCCGAACGGCCAGCTGCGCGAGCAGGCGTGGTGCAGCTGACGGCCGTCCCGCTGCTGCTCACGCTGCTGAAGGACCCCGCCGACGTCGCCGCTCCGTGCCTCCATCCCGTGCTTCTGTTGCGCTGCTCTGCCGCGGGGACGGCGAAGGCGGGCGGGGCCAGAGCGGATGTCGCTCTTGGTCTGGCCAGCAGCGGCCACTGCTGCTCGTTCTGCGCATGTGCTGGGTGGACGAGGCGCGAGAGGGGAGGCCGTGACGGGAGCGCCCGCCTCCCTCAGAGAAGTATGAGCCCCCCGCCCTCCTCCAAGCTGCGCCCAGAAGCGCTGTTATGGCGCCGTCGCCGAGGCGACGCTTGGGGGATCGCGGACCTGCAACTCAGATGCCCCGGAGAATAATCATGGTATTGCAAATGCGATCAAGAAGAAGAAACACAATAATATCAATAATATTGCAGACGAAATAGAAGAAGAAGAAGAAGAAGAAGCGCGTTGCAGCGAAGGGCCGCAGACGAGGGCGATGCCCCCCCCACACACCCTGGCCGCAAGCGGCGCGCGCCGTCTGTTCGAAAGCGTTCAGGTCGGCGTTCCGTTCCAGCGCCGCCCGGGGCGAGGCGGCCTTGCCAGCCGGGCGGCGGGTGGCCTACGCTTCTGGGACAGAGGCGGCCAAGAGGTCGCGAGTTTCTGGGGGTCGGCGAGCAGGATTCGGCGCTGCCCTGCCAGACGTTTGAAGGGCCAGGTTTAAGTCGGGCCTGTCCCTCTACAGGGGCAATATTCAAAAATAGACAAATAATCCGGGGACGATTTTTTCATAATTTTGAACTTTTGGGGAGGATTTTTGGGAGTATTTTTAATTTGTCGCCCAAGATCCCCCTGTAGGGGGACAGGCCCGACTTGAGGCTGGGACGGCGAGCAGGATTCGGCACTGCCCTGCCTTATGTCGGGAGTGCCATGGCCAGCACGATGGTGGGCAAAGTGAGTCGCGGTTCGCGCCTCGCGGTCCGGGCGAGTGCAGAGCGCGGCGCGGGTCCCTCATCATTCAGGAGGGAAAGAAACGCACAGACACAATTAATCGTCGACTCCCCGGAAAATGTGGGAAAATATGGGAAGTGGGGGGGAAGACAAAACCCAGAAAATATGGGGAATCCTTTGATTTGTGTGTATTTATTTCTGTGTCCTGGGGCCCCTTCAATCATGTTCCGGGGGGTGGGCGGCGGCGCGAAAGCGCTAGGATACAGTCGGGGCGCTGAAGAAGGAGCCCTGTTCGTTTGGCAGGGGCTCCGTGCCCCCCAGTTGTCATACAGTTTGCCTCGGTTTGCCTCGTTAGGTTTTCGATGGGAGGTCGCGATTTAACTCATGGAAAATAGGGCCTCGTTCCTGATTTAGGGCTCCCTACAGGCGGCCCAGATGATTAGGTCGACCCTGCCAAATCAAGGGTACCCTCGTGTCCTGCGCCTCGCGAACCATGATTCCTACACTCCCGTGGCGCTATGGCCCTCGGAAGGGTCTTGCGTCCTCTCGCGTGTCCTGTCCCATCAAGTCCGACTGCAGGTCAGCGCCCCGACTGCAGTCTCGCTCTGCGCTTCGCGGAGCGCGAGGCGCGAAGCGGAGCTGCCCTGCACGAGCCTCAGGCGGCGGCCTCCGGGAGGCGCAGCTCGTGCTCGACTCGAGCCTCGTCGAGGGGTGGAGGGGGAGAAGGGGGACGATGATGATCATGAGGAGGAGGAGGAGGAGGAGGAGGAGGAGGAGGAGGAAGAAGAGGATGAGGAGGAGGAGAAAGAGGAGAAGAAGCAGATGGAGGAAGAGGAGGAGGAGGAAGAGGAGGAGGAGGAGGAGGAGGAGGAGAACGAGGAGGCAGAGGAGGAGAAGGAGGAAACGAACGGCCCGCGGGCCCGATTCCGTGCGCGACCCGCCGGGGGGGGGGGGGGGGCGCGCGGGCGAGGGTCTCACGGGGGCTGCGTGTCTGTCTCCCAGGCCTCGGCCACGCGCAGAGCTTGGCATCTCGCTCGGGCGTGCGCATTTGTTTTCTCGGCGAGGGCCATCGAGGAGCCCTGAAGGAGGTGGAGGAGGAGAAGAAAGAGGAGAAAGGAATGAATGAAGGAAGGAAGGCCCTGGCGAAACATGCACGCGCGAAGCCCTGAACACGCACGGGGAGTGGACGTCCGAGCGATGGCGAGAGAGGGGGGGGTAGGGAGAGGGGACCGCTCGTTGGGAGGCACCCCTGCTTCTCAGAGTGCGCGGGCCTTGTCTATGGAAGTAAGGACAGCACCCTCCAAGAAGCGACCTCCTTCTAAGACGCTGTCCCCGCTCCCTCTACCTCCGTGTGAGCGCCGCCAAAATCCCCTACTTCCCCCAGGATCACGCCGCTCAAGAAAAATTGAAGACTCTGGAGTACATGATCCAGGCTTACCCCGCTCCCCCCCCACACACCCAATGCATGTGTGATCGAGACCCGCTGGATGGGTACGCCCGTGAGCCTCGCGAAGGCCTCGCGAATGCGATTGCCCCCCCCCCCCCCATGGGTCGTTCGCGGCCCTGTGGTCGCGGCGTGGTGGAGGATGCCAGTGCTTCCGCGCCCTCCCTCTGGTGCGGGGTGATTCGTCGTCGTCGTCGTCGTCGTCGTTTGCCTCGGCGGCGGCGACGTTGGCGTCGGAGTCGGCGTCGGCGTTGTCGCTTCCCCCCAACTTCATCCTGGGGAGGACCCATGCCATCTGGGGGAGGTGGGTGCTGTGATCCCTCGACCCGGGACCATACATCCCCGGCGGACTATTCGGACGCACCCCTATCGATGTTGCACCCCCCCCAATCGATGTCCCCGAGTTCGGTCCCCAATTGTTGGTCCAGACGAAGCCCCCACAAAGATTGGGGTCGTCATACCCCCCGGTCAGGGGGCCAGTGGTGCGCGGAAGGGACTCCCGGAGGCGAGTTGGTCCGGGAGGCCCCGGCGCCGAGTCAGTTTTTGGACAGGCTGACTATAGAGAGTTCGCATGCAGGAGTTGATGCGGGCCGGACTCTTGAGGGCGGAGGGTTGTGCTCGCGCCCGGGCTCCCGACCCTGGAGCGAGAGGAGGTGCGATTCGCAGGTCGTCCCCAGGGAGCAAAGATGACGGCGCTTCGAGCGTTGCGGTCCCGAACAGACCGGTTGCCCTTTCCAGTGGGGCGCGAGGGCGCGACATTTACAGCGCGTTGCGTCCCGAGCGAAGTTGAGTCGCTTAGGATCTGGGCTTAAATCGGGCATGTCCTCCTGCAGGCAGATTTTGAAGGACAACACCTTATTTAACGTCCCCTGTTCTTTTCCGGACTGTTTTTGATTATTCCTCTTGCCGATGGACACGCCCGACTTAAATCTGGGCTTGAAGGGGATGAATCTCGTCGTGCAGGGCATTGTTTCTGGAGCACGCGCGCGGCCGAGGGCTGAGAGAGCCGAGCTGGGGGCAGAGCATCTCTCGGCATCGCTCGGACGTTAGCTTTTTTTTTTCTGGTGAGGACCATCGAAGAGCACATCCTTGATCATGTGGCGAAAAAGCCACCCACGAAACCGAACAGAAACACAGGGAGTGGACGCCCGAGCGATGGCGAGATCTCGAGATCCTCGGCGGTGCCGGCTGCCAGGGGGCGGCCGCCGGCTCCGCTCCTGCAGGCTTGCGCCTGGACCACTCTTCCGATTTCTGCGTGCTCCGCGAGGAGAGAGGTCCTTGCGGTTGTCCCTGTCTGTGAATATTCCCGGGTCCCCTTAGTAAGGACCTTTGTGTAATTTGTCTTTTAGTGAGGGTTCCTTATCATGAGTGCCTTCTGTAAGGGGTCCTCAGCCAGGATTTGTTTGGTAACGATCCCGTTGCTAGAACACTTGGCGTGTGGGGTGGTGGTGTTGGGAGCAACGGAAAGCGAAACAGTCTATTGCCAAATTGTGTGGCAAGTTCTCTCCCCGTCCCTGCTGGAGGACAGGGCCTAGGTCGTGGCATGGGTGCACTCGTACGGTGTCTTTATTGAGTATTCTTCTAGTGTTAGATGTTTCGTGCACATTTCTAGTAATCAGCAATTCGTTTGAATACCTTTTCCCACGGCATCCATGAACACCTATTGTTTTAGTGGGGGATCCTTAGTGAGGATGCTTTCAGTGCGCGTTCGTTAGTAAGGGGCCTTCATCACATGATCCTGAGTGAGAGTGCCTGTAGAACGCGTGGTTTAGTAGAAGGGGCATTCATCGCAGGATTCTCAGTAAGGATCCCTTCAGTGGGGAGTCCATAGTTGCCTTTAGCAAGGGGCCCTGCAGCAAGGATCCCTGCAGTAAGGATTCACTGCCTATGCTTCCTTTCATACTGGGTCTTTGGTGAATATCCCTATAGTAGAGGATCCTTAGTAAAGCTGCTTGTGTAAGGCCCCCTTAGTGATGGTGCCCATAGTAGTGAGGGCCTTCTCGGTAAGGTCCCCCGTAGTAACAATTGACGGGCTCTCCAGGAGAGATGTTGGCAGTTCCTATGGTTGTGTGTTCAGTTTCCCAGTCTCCGCCGTCGTCGTAATCGTCGTCGTGGTCGTCCTTCTGGCGCGGGAGGCGAAAGTCAGATACTATTCGTTGTTGTATGATTTCGTGTTGTATTTCCTTCCCCTTCTCCCTCGAACCGCCGTGCAACACTGCGCTGCGACTTGGGCCGCGCTAGAGTGCTTCGCCGAAGAAGCGAATCCGAGACGACCTCCTGGCGAACTCCTGTGGTCGCCGCATTCGCCCAGCTCGGGAGGAAGGGACGGGGGGAGACGGTGATAGAGAGAGAGAGATACAGACAGAGAGAGAGGGAGAGAGAAACAAAGAGAAAAAGAGAGGGCGAGCAAGAGGGGCAGCGAGAGACGAAACGGGATACATCTATCTATCTATATATATATATTATACACATACTTACATACGTAGAGAGAGAGAGAGAGAGAGAGAGAGAGAGGGACAGGGACATAGAAAAAGAGAGAGAGAGAGATAGGGAGAGATAAAGAGCGCGAAACGGAGAGAAGGGACGGACCATGACATGAATAATTTCGCAGGGGGGGGCGATTCGACCCCGAAACCATGCACCACATTAGCTCACACAGCCAGATTGCAGGAATCCACTATTTTCGGGTCCGGGCTGGCACACGCTGTCGGACTGCATAATCCAGCCCTGGGAGAGCTCCCCAGTTGCAGGACCTGTTTCCGCCATAGCCCGTGGGTGGCATCCAGGCACCGGTGTCCGGCATCAGGTTCTCTTCCTCGGCTCCAGCGGTCCTTCGGAGAAGGGCGAGGAGCAGCAGCAGCAGCAGCAGCAAGAGTTCGGAGGACAGGCGGAGCAGTAGTACGACGGGAGAGGGGGAGCGGGGGAGCGGGAGGTGGACAGGGGAGCGGAGGAGGACGCCGACGGAGGAGGAAGAAGAGGAGGGAGGGGAGGGAGGGAGAGGGCGGCAACGACGCCCGCGACGAACACGGCGGCACCGCCGTCTGGCTGGGCGCTCAGGACCTCCGCGCCCAGGCGGAGGCGGGCCTGGCGATTGACGGCTCGATGACGAGGCTTGACGGCGCGCACAAGGGGGGGGGGGGGTCGCGGGGGATGCGCTTTTCTAAGAACTGCCCGCCTGAGGCACATCGCCATGCCCCCTCAGATTGGCATCGCGTTATATCGATGCCGATCTTGAGGGTTCGCCGACATCACGAAGGCACAGGGCACACCCCTGGTGCTGTCATTGCCCTGCGCTCGTCGATCTCTGGGGATGCGGAGGAGCCCGAGGCCAGTGGACGAAGGCTGGGGGGAGGGCCTGAGGAGGCAGGTGCCTTGTCAGAAGCGCTCGGTGGCGTCTGCGAAACAGTCTCGGCGTCCTCCCCAGGGCGAGGAGGAGGAAAAGGAGGAGGAAAAGGAGGAGGAGGAGGAGGAGGAGGAGGAGGACCCCTGGCCCTCGGCCTCCCGCCGCGCCGCCCCCTCCTCGCGCGCGCCGCCGCGAGGTGGTGCCAGGACGCCAGGGGCCAGGCCGCGCGCCGTCCGAGGCTCGAGGATCTCGAGGGCTTCCGGAGAGGAGGAATATGCGGTTACCTTGGCATCGCTCGGACGTGTGCATTTTTCTTTCGGCGAGGACCATCGAGGAGCATCCTTGATCATCTGGCGAAAAAAAAACCACGCACGAAACCGAGAAAAACACAGGGAATCGACGTCCGAGCGATGGCCAGCCAAGGTTCGAGGATCTCGAGGGCTTCCGGAGAGGAGGAATCTGCCGATGCCGCTGGCAGGCTTCAGTCGGGCATGTCCCTCTACAGGAGGAGCAGTCCAGAACAGTGAAACAACTAATCTGGGGACGATTTTTTCCCGACTACGTTTGACTCTTCGTGAGGATTGTTGGACTGTTCTTCTGCTCCCTTCCAGAATCCGCCTGCAGGCGGGCATGCTCCATCCGATGCCAGTCCGTCGCCGCCTGGGCAGGGCTCCGCCTCGGCGTCCCCAAACCACCAGGGAGCTGCGGCATATTCCTGCTCCCCCCAGTGTGCTTCGGGGAGACAACAATCGGGGTTTGACAGACCTCCTACCCTGAGACGTCGATTCAGGAATTGGCCGTTTTCGGTTCGCGAGAGGGCGCCGCGGCTGTCATTTTTGCGGGTCCAGGTCCGTCGGTTTCGGTCCCAGGTCGTTTCCACTAAGGGGAGGTCTACTAAAGGGACGTTTGTCCACCGCCGAAAAAAGGTACCGATACCGCTACCCCTGTGACCTCTCCCAGGCTGCGCTCTGACCAGGATCTCGAGGCGGATCCGACGGCGACGACGAGGGAGGCCCAGGAGGCCCAAAAAGTAAGAGGTGGACAGAACCCCCAACAGTGACACGTTGATTAGTGGATTGTCCGTGTTCGGTTCTCGAGAGGGCGCCGCGGCCGTTATTTTCCAGGCTTTCGCCCGCCAGGTTTGGGCCTCAGGTCGTTTTCACTAAATCACGTTGTGCTAAAGGGGGGCCTAGGGGGAGAACGGGGCGAAGGGTAGCGGTATGGGTACCCGGTTCGGCTCCCGCCTCGAGGATGTTGATCTTCGAGTGTGGCTTGGTGGACCGGCGTGTTTTCTTCTCGGGGCCTCTGGCGGCCTCCCTCGGGAGCCTGGCGGCGCGCACAAGGGGGTGGAGGGAGGGGGGCGGGCTTCTTAGAAGCACCCCTGCTTCTAAGAAGGCGCGGGCCTTGTCTGTAGATGTAAGGCCGGCGCCTTCTGAGAAGCCCTCCCCCCTCCCTCCACCCCCTCCCTCCTTCTAAGAAGCCCTCCCCCTCTCCCCCCTCCCTCCCCCCTCCCCCCCCCTCCCAACCGCCTTCTAAGAGGCCCTCCCCCCTCCCCCCTCAACCGCCTTCTAAGAAGCCCAACCGCCTTCTAAGAAGCCCTCCCTCCTTCTAAGAAGCCCTCCCCCCTCCCCCCACATCTCCTTGTGCGGCTGCCTCCCGGGGGGCCTCCGCGACTGCCTCCCGGGGGGAGCCCCCGCGGCTGCCTCGGGGGAGACGTCGGTCGGCGTCGTCGTCGCTGGGGATGTATGCGGTGCAGATCGTGATTCGCGGCTGGGCCCTCCCTTCCCCCTCCCCCCTCCCTCGCCCCCTTCCTCCCCCCCCTTCCCTCCCCCCCTCCCTCCCCCCCTCCCCTCCCCCCCCCCTCCCCCCCTCCCTCTCCTCGGGAGCCTCCGCGGACCTCGGGAGACGTCGGTCGGTGTCGCCGTCGATGGGGAGCTGCGGCGCAGATCGTTGATTTTCGCGGCTGGGTCCGACGGTGACGACGAGGGAGGCCCAGGAGGCCCAAAAAGGGGAAAACGGGGCGAAGGGCAGCGGTACGGATGCCCGGTTCTTCTCCCCCAGCGCCTCGAGGATTTTGAGATTCGAGTGTAGCAGGAGGGTAAGAAGCACACAGACACAACTAATCGTCGATTCCCCTAGAAAATATGGGGAAATATGGGAAGTGGGGGGAAAGACCAAAGCCTTAAAAATAGTTGAAAATATGGGAAATGGGGATCTGTGGTGCAGATCGTGGATTCGCGGCTGGACCCACTTCCTCGGCATCGCTCGGACGTGTGCGTTTTTTCTCGGCGAGAACCTTGGAGGACCATCCTGGACCATCGAGCAACAAAAAGAGCACGCACACGACACCGAAAGATGCACGGGAAAGGGACGTCCGAGCGACGGCAAGCTTCTTGAGGGAAGAGTAGGTTCGGATGCCACTCCTGGGAGGTGGAATTCTGCGTTTGCCCTGATCCGAGATCCGGCTCAAGCCCGCTAGATCCCGCATAGTCCCGCTCAATCCGGCTGAATCCCGCTGAATCCGAGGCCTACTCCGGCGTAGCAGCTCCCAAATGGGGCTTAATCCTCTTTGATCCTTCCGACGAAGACTTCCCAGTACGTAATTACCTCCTAACACTTTGAAAGAAGAATAGGCAGCGGCGGAAGCATGGCAGCAGGCTGCGCTCCTCGGAGGAGGGCGGCGGGAGAGGGCAAGCGGGGGAGTCGGGAGGATCGGCCCTCCACTTGCCTCCTGACAGAAGTGCAGCCTTTCTGCAGTGACTCCAGCAGCTGGCGCGAGGGCTCCGGGTCTTTGTGGGCCCCGGAAACGGCAGGGCCGTTTTTTCACCGTTTCCAGCAAAATGCCCTTTGAACATGGGAACGGCAAACAAACGGCGACCCGAAACGGCAAAAAAACTGCTCCAGGATCGGAACCGGAGCTGGAACAGGTCAACAAACGGCGACGGAACCGGTAAAAAACGGCGTCGGATCCGGCCAAAAAACGGCAAAATGGAACCGGTAAAAAAATTGCCTTGTCGTTTCCAGGGCCCACGAAGCTCAGGGTAACCCACAGACTTTGAAGGGTGCCTTCACGTTCTTCGTGTTTGGGTTCTCCACCTTGGAATGCTCATCGATTGGTGTATCTCCATTGGGGCTCTGACTTTCGGCAAAGGGGCTCTCATGCTTCACCCTCTTTTGTGGCCTCCTCTCGACTGAACTCAGACAGCGCGCTGGAGTTTTCCCCCCGAACTCTGAATTGGCACGGCCTTCGGGCCGATCGTGAGTAGCGTAGCGTAGCTGGATGTGGGTCGGCGGCTTGCCGTGGGTTTCCTCAGAATGCCCCAAAGGCGCCCGCGTCCTCCGGGGCCGTGGGTGCTCGCCCTGCATTGGATTTCCACTCGCTCTTTTGCAGGGGGTACGGATGCCTCCGCAGCCGTTTATTGGGCTCAGAGGGTTTGTCCTCGACCTTCGGCGTTGATCTTCACTTTGGATGGCGTAGCCGTTTTTACCTAACAGCGAAGACTGATAGGTTTCTAGTGGTGTCAAAAGAGAGCATCTGATGACTCAGAAGGGAGGTCTGGGCGGCATTCGGACAGCGAGGGCCGGGCTCAGGGCCGGGCTCGTTTTAAGCAAACAGTCACACACTTCGTGCTCTTCGACCTCCCAGAACTCCATTCCCGGGCCACATTTTGAATGCCCGAAGCCAACTGTAGGCCACTTCGTGCTCTACTTTCGTCCCGTGTAGGCCACTTCGTGCTCTTCGACTTCCCAGAACTCCATTCCCGGGCCACATTTTGGATGCCCGGAGCCAACTGTAGGCCACTTCGTGCTCTTCGACTTCCCAGAACTCCATTCCCGGGCCACATTTTGGATGCCCGGAGCCAACTGTAGGCCACTTCGTGCTCTTCGACTCCCCAGAACTGCACTCCCGGGCCACATTTTGAATGCCCGGAGCCTGAGGCTGAGGCTGAGGCTGAGGCTGATGCAGGGTGAGGCTGAGGCTCAGGCTGAAGGCAGACTGAGGCTGAGGCTGAAGCAGGCTGAGGCTGAGGCTGAGGCAGGCTGAGGCTGAGGCTGAGGCTGAGGCTGATGGCTGAGGCTGAGGCAGGCTGAGGCTGAGGCCGAGGCTGAAGGCAGACTGAGGCTGAGGCTGAAGCAGGCTGAGCTGAGGCTGAGGCAGGCTGAGGCTGAGGCTGAGGCAGGCTGATGCTGAGGCAGGCTGAGGCTGAGGCTGAGGCTGATGCAGGCTGAGGCTGAGGCAGGCTGAGGCTGAGGCCGAGGCTGAAGGCAGACTGAGGCTGAGGCTGAAGCAGGCTGAGG